TAATAAAAAAAACAAAATTAAATAAATTTATTTTGTATATTAATAGTTTCATTTTTGTTTAGTTGTAATCTACTTGTACGGGTTATTAGATTAAAATATTAAGAGTAAACAAATGTATTTTAAAAATAACTATTCTTATGTTAACGCAAAATCCAAAATTACAGGGCATCTAGCAATTATTGTCATAATGTTATTAACGTAATTCGCATTATAAAAGGAAACACTTCATAGTGCATGATTTTATACAACACTATAATGTATGAATTGTGTTAGATAGAGTTAACTGTACAATATCGTATATTAGAAATATAGTACTTGAAAGTAAGAAACTCCATTGTATAGAATTTTTGTATTTTAAATATCTTTATAAATAATAATTAACAATAATTATTAAAATTTATTTAATTGTGTCATTTAAATTAAAAATGACTTCTACACAATTAGAAGTAGGATTAATTACTTAAAAGATCTCTTACATTTGAATATACCTATGTGTGTACGAATTAAACAATATTTATATATAGTTTTCTACTATTCATTTATATAATTATTCATTAGATAATGCATATACATATATAAATGATGATATATTAATTATTTTCTTTTTTAATATTGTAAAGATTCTTGTTTAATTACAAAGCTCAACAAATAAATAGTAGAATAAGTTCAATTATACTTTATTCTTTTTTACGAATATATATATTCATTTTTTTATTGGCAGCAAGAAATTTTGATAGACGTGTTCCGTTATATGGCGTATTGCTTCCCGGTGGATGGAGTCTCATCTAAAACAAACGAAATTTATGTATTATATTTAATGTACTATTTCTATTTTAAGAATTTTTGAACTGTTACAAATTTCTTGTTCATGAATTCCAAAAATTGTATTTGATTTTATTTATGTAGTTAGTATTTTTAAATATTTTTTTAAGTTCTCAGTATTTTGTAAAACAAACGATCAGAATTTTTCAACATTTTTTGTTTATTATTTTTTAAAATACATGGACATAATTTATAATTGTGTCAAGATTGCGCCAAAGTTGCATCAAAGTCACATCAAAGTCACATCAAGATAACATGGATGCATGTGATGCACATAATGTGCACTAATATTTAATTATAAATGCTGACATTAATATAAACTACCTACCAAAAATATTTAAAGATACTAATCCAATAAATATCAGCAATTTTAATTTACAAATAATTATAATTATTATCTAAATGTTACGTACCAATCGATGTAGAAATAGTTCCTGAATAAAATCCCGAAGTTTCTGTTTGTTGTATATTATAATTTCAATATGTAGAGCATATTACATTTATAATTAGAATAATAATAGATAAATACAAAAAAGATATAGATAAAAATATTTACAAAAGTGGCATTAATTCGTTTATTTTCATAAAGTAAAAAAAAAAAAAGAACAAGATTGCAATAACTAGTAGTAGTACAATATTTAAATATCTTATTTCTTTTTTAAAGAAAATAAATAATATTATTTAATAATATTTTAAAAAGAACTTTAAAAAAGAAACATTATACGAGTTTGTATTAAAAAGAGACGATCATTATATTATACCTACACTACTACTGGAAAATTATGATAATTATTATAATTTATTTAAATTATGATCGATTAAATTAAGCGACATCAATGCCTACTGAAACCATACCTCAGGTCTTAGAGTTAAGGTCAAGCTCTATCGGTGTTAGTTTTATTGTTTAAATCGAATGTCAAAAATACAAGAGACCGTTTCTTTTTTTTTTTTTAAATGCACACACAAATGAAAAATTAAATCGTACTATTAAAAACAGGACACTTCCAAATTCTTCGTATGTACTTTTAAAAATTACAATAAATTTCGTTGCAAGGAATTTTAGGTTTTGTAAGAAAAGAAAGAAATTTCATTCTTTTTTTTTGTTTATAAATTACTAAAATATTTTTTTCTTTTTAACTATGCACAAAACATATTTCCTATTCCAATCGTACGTTTCGTCGTGTATTCAAACATAAAATTTAATTCGATTCAATTTGTTACATTATTTTGTCATGTTCTCTCAACGAAGTAGTATTTAATTCGTATCAAAAGAAATAAAATAAAAAATAAAATAAAATAAAAATAAAACAAAAAAAATAATCAAGCGAAGCGGGCCATTGATTAGGTGAAAGTATAACTTTAGTATTCGTTATGTGTATTCAGCCACCTAGTCAATTATTATTATTATTATTATTATTATTATTATTATTAATAATATTATTATTATTAATATTTTACACATTTGACCAGTGGCGGATCAAGTCAAGTGGGAATCCCAAGCGATACAAATTTCATACTATAACGCATCAATTAAATTTATTTAAAAAACGTAATTTTTCTCAAACCCTAATGAAAAGAAATTGGAAAACTTGGGAGTTCAGAAGGGCCGCTTAATCTGCCACTGCATTGTACCCTGCAACAGCGCAGCTCGAGCATTAGTAAGATATAATTTGTTGTATGTAATGTGTGTACGTGTATGTTTTTTATTTGTTTTTTTTTCTTTTGTTTTTAATATATTTTTTTTTAATAGTGTTTGAATGAATTTGCGCGTGGATTGGCCGTGCAGCATCGTCATTTTCATCTATTTCTCGATGTAGTCGTTGTCAATGGCTTTTCCGTCTCCCTCGGCATTTTTGATTCGTTTCTGTAAGAAAAAAAGAAAACCGACACCAGCGGTTACACGTAGTGTTACGATGATCGCATGAATAACGAATGAGCATGTAGCAATGATATGATGTTCAGGGCATTGCAAACGATCGAAAATGGATCTCATTGTTGAACGTAGATTTGCCTTATTGTTTATTCGAAAGAGGATTCTTTCTGAAAATGATAAAATATCATTCAATAAGGTATAATAATGTATGCATTAATCTATAATTTTGTTTGTGTATGCATATTTGAACCTTTTGTAATATTTTTATACGAATGCACCACACTCCCAATGTAATTTGGATTGCCCGGAAAGTTCGGCGGGTCGATTGATATTTTTAATATTTTCTATTAATTTTTCTCTAAATCTTCTCTGTTTTAAACTTTTCGGGTGACCCAATACTTGGTAGTACGTGTTATTTCGTTTTGAATTAAATTATCTTGAAATTTTAGAATTCTTTTAATATAAAAATATCATATATAGTACAATACATACACGTAATGCACTAAATAATATACTAATTCATGTTATTATAATACTCTTACAAAACTTTCTTCCTCTTCGATCGACTTGCATGAATTTTTAACTTGTTACTGTGCAACAACCAAGTGTGCCATGCTTTTGATTCTCATAATCACTTTATCACAGCAATCTTTCAATATTTCCACGCTAAGAATACGCTTTCTATAGAATAATAGTAATAATAATAATCACTTATAGATATGATTACTCACCATAATTCTGTATTTTTCCTTACAAGCGTACTCCGATTCATCTACGTCATTGTAACAATCACTTTTGTAATCCTCTGGAATAGGTTTGCCCTCAAATTGACAAAGCCTCCATAATGGCTTCGCTTTTACGATCATTTTTTCAAATCCCGTTGGCTTATGTTGGGGACAATAAAACACGTCCGGCGTGTTCTTGTCGAAAACTATACTTTTACGTATTATATCGCCGCCGTTCACTGTTATTAATAATACCTAATCAAAAACAACAAATTTATACAATTAATTTCATTCGAATTTTTATAACAATGAATACAAATATTTTTTAGAATAATTTTATACAAAATACATACAATTATGCTAATTTTAACAATATATCTAACTTTCAATTTTCTGTATCCTTAAATTCGTATGAATTATGCGCGTTCAAGGGAAAGATATATTGCACGTAACGAAACGTTACGAAACGAAGTTGAGAAAATAATTTAAGAAAGTTGCACATATATGTGATATATTAATACATAAGACATTTCACTTACAGCGAGCAGGACGAATAGACTGCTAGCATAAGTGACTCCTGAAAATAGAAAAAGAAAATAATAATAATAAAAAAATAACGAACGTAAATGTGGAACGAAAAGAAACGTAACTCGTTAAAAAAAGAAAAGAAAAAAGAAAATGGTTGTAAAGATATACACTTATTTTTATTGCTTATGTTCGACATTACGTAAACGAACTAATGATTTAACTGTAAAACTATCGAAATCGATGAGAAATGATAGAAAAATAAATTAGATCAAGTTTTGCCTTTCCTTTTTTTTTACTTTTTTTTGTTTGTTTGTCATACGTGGACAGGTTGATCCAGTTTTATTTTTTAATAATTATTCTTTTATCTCATATTATTACGAAGATTCAGTTCTCTTGTATTTCTTACAAGGACGACGAGTGTGAAAAACTAGAATTATTATTATGCAATCTATCGAATACTCGGGTATATGTTTTTTATATTTTAGTATGAATTTTTATAATATTTATTTAATTATTTATTATATTTATAGCATTTATTTTTAGTATATAATTTATTAAAATATGTTTTACTCGCGAGTATTCGAACTGTACGAAATTATCTAAGTATTAGATTTTTCTACACAAAACTATATACACGTATAACTAATTTAATTTTCTATCAATTCCAATTAATTTCAAAGAATTTTCCGCAATTGTCGAACAGTTGCATAGTTGTAATTGCAATATTCAACAAAAAAAAAAATATAATTCCACGCGTAAGAAAATAAATTATTATTCCACGTAATATAAGCATAAAATAGATATAATAACATTAATTTAAAACTTGAAATTATTTTCCAACAATGGTCGATCCATTTGCAGGCGAAACATAATAGGACATATGCACTGGCCTTAGACTCATTCTCCATTTGAGTTTAGGACGAGGCCTAATCAGAAAGATTGCGACCGAGGACTAACGGAGTTAATATGATAACTGCAATGTAATTGCACCTTCTGACCCTATAAATGTAGCTCTACGAACTCGCGAGAATTATCAACGATTACGACGATACAATAACTGTCTCTTGGTCTATAAAGAATTCGATAATCGACCATATTTCTCTTTGAAAAATATTATCAAGCGCAAATATTTGTTATTTCATTTTTTAAATATTCCGATATTATAAGATTTACCAAATATATCTAATAATATATATATTTTACTCTATAATATATATATAATATTTATAAAATATATATATATATATATTTATATTATTAATTAATAAATAAATCAATGTTTAATATTGATGATATATATATATATAACGAAACAAGGGATGGTTTTACATGAAAAATTAAATCAAAAATATAGAATACAATTTGTTCGTATGACCCTTTGTTTTGGAGAAAAATATATTCGAAAATTTATCGAGGGAGAGTATACATGGAAAATAATTATTCAAATATCAAAGTTTATATTATATTTATCTATTCTAATTTTTTAAATAATTAAAAATAAGATACTCCAACTCTTACTTCATATTTGTTCAATTCTAATATCCTGTATTAAATCATCAATAGGATATTTTTAGTATTATGCAAAAGACATTTGTATAACGCCTTTGAGAAAGAGTTTAAACGTCACTTAAAGAAACAATTCAAACGCAAATCTCATTAATTCTTCTACGTGCGTAACGGTAAAAACGTTACTCAGTAACATCCTGTGTCTGAAGAGCAGGAATTAATAGATCGTAATCTCGTATACATATATATATATATACACGTATGATCGCATCAAAAAAAAAAGAAATAATGTTTAGAAAATGACGAATCTTTTATAAAAGATGACGTTTTTGGAGATGATCTCAAAAAAGGATATGACCTTTTATCTGGAACTTTCTCTTCTCAGTGATTGAGAAATTCCATGATTTCTTTCTTTCTTTCTTTTGGATCATCCCATTGTGCTAATCCTAAATCTTTGAATTTTGATCATAGTCATAAAATCAGGATACAAAATTGATTCTAAATTGGAATATTAATAAATGTATGAATATAATTCATCTGTGTTGATGATAAAATTAATATTATTACTAACCCATGCTTGGATGGTGGAACACTCTTGTGTCAGGGAGATCACTAGCACACCACCTGTTGATCCACACAAGACAACGTTCCTTCGTTAACTGAGAAAACGTTCGACGATACCAAGTTGTTCATGCAAGCATTGAGTACTGCTGAGTAACTGAGGAGTACACACATATCTTCGAGACTACAAATCTGTGACTTCAAAGATCGTAATACCGTTATTATCATTGAGATATAAGGATGTGCTAGTATATACTGGATGTCTCAAATTTAAATCACTCAAATTGCAAGGGATCTAACTTACATCTAACAACAATGTTGTTTAAAGTTTATTCAGTAGCAGTTTAAAATAATTATTTATCAAATTTATCTAGTAATTAAGTAGATTATACGCTTATCATGCAGTAATAGTTCCCAGTGTAAATTATAAATAATTACAAAATAATGTGATATAAAATGTTCAGATGTAGATTGATCTTTCATAATTTGGTTATTTAAATTTGGGACACCCTGTATGTACTATCACTCAATGCAAAGTTTGAATTACTAACCTGATTTCTTTGTCCTTGACAAGATTCACTTTTTTATCTTTCATAAATAATTCATAATTATATTAATGTTTATCTAAAATAGAATAGAAGTAATGTATACATTATTTTTATTAATTAATTGAAGATTAGAGATTTGCTTTTTTTATTTATAGAACATAGATGAATAGATGAATGATACTGTTAACAAACTTGCTCACCTTCGATAACTTTCACATACTATATACGTATATCTGAAATGTGTCCTTATTGTACGAATTTTAGATAGAAAATTGAAAAAAAAGCAAAAGATGAGTGGGTTAATCTTGTCTTTGCCATATTTGGAAAGGGTGATTCAATTCTTCTCATCGCCATTCTTGGTCTTCCAAAGATCTAAAATCGATGAATACAACTTTTAAACAGATCATAGACAAATTGGGAACTATTACATATATAAATAATAAAATAAATAAAATATACATATTTATATCTATATATAATAAAAATAATTCATTTTAAATGAATAAAATAATAAAAATCATGTTACGTATTTTTCAATTAAAAGTTCAAATTTAAATACGCGGGACATTTAAAAACGATATCAGCGCAACTATCGATAATAATCGAAATTAACTGTGATTTAAATTTAAAGTGTCTGACGGTCATATTCCACTTTGGAAAATGCATGTTTTAAATTTGAAGTTACTTGTTATTTACTTTTTTATTTTTATTGTCAAAACACTTCCCTCAACAACAAAATGACAGGTTGTCAAAAAAAAATAGGGGGTGCTGTAGCAGCTACCCCCTGTTTACTTATCTTGACAACCGTGTCAGGGCGCTGATATTCTCCATAGAGTATAAACATATCACTAGAATTTTACAGGAGAATATTGTTTTTTAAACAAATTTAATGAAAAACATTAAAATTTAAATTGTTTAATAATAACGGAATGGACAGCCAAGTTTGTGGTGATGGTAGATTATTGGATTTAATCGATGAGGCATGGCGCAAAGAAAAATTACCTATCGATGATATTTTAGTACCAGTAGCAGAACTACCAGATCCCGAGAGTGACAATGGTGATTCGCACATGACATTGAAAGAATTAGAACAAAAGTGGAATAACTTAGCATTAGGTACACTGAGTGAAAATCATTTGCATTCCCCAACACCTTCTCATAATTGAAATATTACTTTAAAATAAAAACGAAGAATATATCAATTAATTATATAACAAAACACATATTGTTGGATGCAAATAAAAACAAAAGAAATACAAAGATGGAATTTCCTAATACGGGAGAAAATTGTGCATTGGACAATTGTAAACAATTAGATTTTCTACCATTTAAATGTGATCAATGTCAATTGACATTCTGTAAGAATCACTTTAACGCAGAGTCACATAAATGTTCTAAACCTCAATCAGATGTAGTAACGTTGTCTAAAGAAAAATCTTCTAATTACGTTTGTTCTAAAGAAGATTGTAAAGAAACTTCAGTCGTTGAAATGTTATGTTATAAATGTAAGATACATTTCTGCTTGAAACATAGATATCATGGTTGTATGGAAGTTAGTGACGATGAGACATTAAAGAAACTTAAAAAATGGCAAATACCTAAGAGACAATTTGCCCAAGCTAAGGCTATTGTAGATCAAGAAGTTACAGATTCTTTAAGAAAATCTAAAAATACTGCTATGGCTAACAAAGTATGTTCAAATATTAATCCTATTCCTTTTCAAAATTATATGATTAAAAATAATTCATATAACTTTCTTGTTGTTATCAGGTACAATTGATGCGTGTTAAAAGTACTGCTATAGGTCCTAAAAATGTGCCTATCAGTGAACGTTGTTACTTTCTCGTATATTATCCGATAACTGTTTCAAGTAAAGACGCCACTGTCTGCAAAGGTATTTTCACTAACAAAAATTGGACCATTGGTAAAATCATAGATTCCATAGTGGAAGTACTTAAAATTCCTAGCAACAATAATACTTCAACTACAAATAAATTACGTTTGTTCAACTACAATACGGGTGCATCGATAAGCGATCAAATGGATATTCGTTTAACAGATCTATTCGAAAATTCTATACTCATAGATGGTCAACGTATTATTTTAGAATATTCTGATGATACGTCTGTAGATGTTAATCTATATAAATAAATTTATTTAAAATCTATCTTACTTTTGTAAGTGTATAATAAATCCTATGTACTCTTTTAACATGTTAAAAGCTATGCTGGTTTCTATAATCTAATCTTAGACTTTTCATTCAAGCCACAACATTCTCGTGTATTTTTTTGGATAACAGATTATTGTTGCCTGAATGAAAAGCTAAATAAAAGAAGTTCAACGTTTAATGTATTAAATAATTGTATCATGTCAACGATAGCAAGGATTTAGTCATATTAGAATAATACTTGTTTATTACAAACTAGATGGTTTCATATATCAGTTTTACATTTATTGTTGATAAAAAGACACAGTAAATCCATTTTTTTATACCTACTGGATAAACAAATCATTCATACCAGATTATTGTCAGATTTGTTTTCAAAGAAAATTTTTAAAGACAATATTCTGATTTTGGCACCGAATGTTCTTCTGCTTGTTGGTGTAATTAATAATGTGCACCATTGTAAAAAAGAGCATATAAAATTAACATGTTTTAAAGAATACTAAAATAATAATAATAATAATATAATAATAATAATAATAATATCTCGTTTACTAAATGATGCTATATCATAGTGTTAGATATATTAAAAAAAAAATATATATATATATATGAACGTATTAGTAACTTAAGCGATGTGCGTATTTTGCAGATGCTGTTAGATATTAAAATATATCAATATAAAATGTTTCCGCAATAAATGTATAATGTATTAACAGAAACGGTATGCGTTAAAATGAAATTATCAATATCTCGGTTATTTGTCCATCATTTTTTTTCCATTTATGTAAATGAAATATAATATTTATGTAAAGAAAAATAATGAGAATATCTATGTAAAAAATATTTTCATCGTTTCATCTTACATAGCTGTTGAAGATAACATTTAAAATATTATTTAAAAAGTTTTGTTTCTATTAATATGAGTCGAGATGAGGATTATATCCACACAAGTTGACTATAAAAAAAAACAGTAAAAATATAATAAATCTCATTATCGTTTCTTTGAACACATCAAGATGCGATCTACGTATAGACCATTATTTAATACTAAAGTGAAAAAAAAAGTATATAGATATGTAAATATCTCGGACGTTTATACATATAATATATTAAAATATTAATTTAGTATTATATTAAAAAAGAGGAGTGTAAATCTATTCGGATACAATGGCCAAATATTTCTAATCTAGAGAAATGAATAGATTTAAAGACAATAATAAGTATGACGATACTAATATTAAGAATTATATTAAAAAAAAAAGAAAAGAAATTATTGAAATTATTTTCCTCTTTCGTATCGATATTAAGTAAAAAATATTCTTTTACCTAAGTACAAATGAAGATAATAAAGAATGAAGAATCAAATGCACAATATGTATAATGAGATTGCAAATAGAACAAGCAATGCCACTCGAGCATTCACATTTCCTTTAGCGTTCTGGCCTTTTGTATAGCCGCTGGCCACCCGTTTCCTTGCTGGGAAATTAATAAAATAGCGGTAGGTGGCCTGAAGTCAAGCTCAGGAATGCCAACCAGATCTTTGTAACTCAATTTGACCTTCTAACGTCTTGGCTAGATAAATAACAAATAACTGGCTAAGTGCTATACCCAGAGCGATGCCTGCTATCGTATATAAATTGCGTTCTGCCCAATTACGAACTATTTCGATGCAACCACTGGTCCATACTTTTTTACTTGCTTCTGATACCGGAAGAGTTAAAACTTTGTCTTTGTATCCGCACATTATATTAACGAGTCCACTCTACAAAATTTAATAATGATATTAATTAATATATTTTATAATAATATGTTTTTATAGTATTTGTACACTGAGACGAAATTGAAATATTTACACTTATGTCTGTAGCATTTATACAGCAAGAAAATGGTACACCACAATGTTCGACACTAGGACTAGAACAATTAAAATATTCATTTTTGCCCCAATCCATATATCCAGCTTGACTTAAACCACAGCATTTAAACTATAAAAGAAAAAAAAGAACCATGATTTTAAATATTTATATTATGTTTATTTGAAATGATATATTAAAGATAAATACTAACTTCTTGTTGTCCAAAATCAATAAAATTCTGCAAATCTGGATCTTCTCTATAGGTTTGAATAATTTTTTCTGTAAATGATTCTTCTAATAATGATTGTAACGTATGAGGAAATACAAAACCAACTATTGCAACACCCATTTCCAGGAGGAAGAAAACCAACAGGCACAATGAATACTGTAACAATTTAATGTGTGAGTCATAATATATAAGAGAATATAAATAAATTTAGAGGAATGCAATACTAACAAATTTAAGTAGGCAGGTATTTTCACGAAGTGCACCAACGCATCCAGCGAAACTTACAACGAATACCACTCCTCCAGCTATTACCATTACAAGGGAGATATTCAAAATGACATCATATACATTTTCCACTCTTACCGAACCAGTTGCTTGCCATTTATCAACAAATGCATACAGACCCACTCCAATTAATAATCCTCCAAATAACTGCATAATTAAAATACTCATATTTAATATTACATATTGTATTATTTGCACTTATCAATCTGATAAAATACCCATCAAAAATGTTACAGCATTGACTTACCCAGAATACAAAGTTGAGCGTAAATATCATATATTTCACACATGAGCTAACATAAGTGAAATTATTTGTGCGCCTTCGATTAATCATTTCTATGTATTTGAATAAAATAGTAATATTATATAAATTGATAACAATAGATGTAATATACAGCAATGCACAATTCAGTAACACGATTTAATTCCTGATTATTATTTGTTTATTCAATAACTATAATTATTATTTTTTAATGTTCCTTTCATTTTACATGCTCCGCGTGTACTCATTAGCCTTTTATTATATTCCTAAGAAACTAAACTTGATCGTGAATAATATAATATTGACATATATGACAACATACTTTGACAGATTCTTTTGCTTTTACATACCATCACAGTTCTATTCCGCGTATTCCTATTTTCACGACGCTTAAGCTTCCATATTAAACGTTTCCAATTGTCTGATTTAATTGCTTTTTTTGGACATATTCATAATATATTACAATCATTATTTTATACTATTTCAAATTTAATTGTATTAAATAAAAAATATATGTAAAGACTACAATCTTATTAAAGATATATTTCATTTTTATTATTATTCTTAATATCATTTAAAATGATCTTTTAAATTGTTAGAAAAGTGATATTTAGGAAGGTATTCCAATTCCGCGCGTTCCTCTATTTTTGTTCAGTGAATATGAGTCTTAACAATGTAATGGTTGATATAAAGTTATAAAGGTGTAAAAAACTAGAATTACTATTGCAATAATTAATGTTTATGAATGGACTGATGACATAATATTTTATTTAAATAAAATGACGTCAGTTCAAGATAGTAAGTTCATTTAATCAATCTTTATTCATATAATAAAGTAAAGATTTACATTTTAAGGTTAACTTAATTTTATGATATAATAATAAACTATTTAACATTTAACATTAAAACATAATGCTTTTGTATTATGTTATATAAAAATGAAATAAAACATTCGTTTAAATCTTATCGTTACTTCTATTTATTAGAAATATAAAAATTAAGTTATCTTATTTTTCATTTCCTAACCTAAGATTTTTTTATGCTTTCAAATAATTTCTGTTTGTTTCTTACAAATAAATTTGATTTATATTAATATTACATTTTCAGGATTGAAGTTCAAACGCATATCATGTGACACATGGAGTACACGCGAGCAATTATGTTTAGCATCTAGTGTATTAAAATCTGGAGATCAAAATTGGATGAGTGTATCACGTTCTTTAAAACCTTTCGCAGAGAAGGAAGCATTACGGCCACCTGATTGGTTTTCTCAAAAATCTTGCGCTATACAATATGCATATCTTTTGGAAAATGCTGATACACCAAAGCGTAAAAAGAGAGAAAGCGGAGAAACTACAGGAGAATCAATAGTCAGAAGATTAACTCAAGACAGAATAGCAGAATTAGGTCAGATATTAGCTTTTCAAAGAGATGAGTATCAACAGCTTAAGGCAGAAGTAAACCTATTAAAATCAGGTTCTATAACGGAAGAAAAATTACAAAAAATGTGGCATGTCATAGAACAAGAGGAACGTGACCAAGAACAAAAAGCAAGGGCACATTCCGCTTGGCTACTTAAACGACAACAAAAGCAAGAAATAATGGTTTCACAAAATGTTCCTGTTAGAAATCAGCGTAAAGTAATGGAAACAGCTCCAGAATTATCAGAATCGACTGATGTTTCAATGGAAGATGATGAAAAGAAAGGAAGAGGTGGTCGTTCTCCGTTATTAACAAGTTTATTAAAATCTCCCAGTCCAACGACTCAGATACAAACGTCGACATCCACTGCACAAATAAATTCTCCTACTATTACCAGTCTTCTCGGTTCTAGTCCTAAAGTACCAGTTTCACCAATAACACAAAGTGTAACTTCTTCTATGCATCAATTGATACCATCTCCAATAACAAATGTTATTCCTGAAAGACCATCAGTTGGTGCTCCAACACTCTCTATGTTATTAGAAATGCCTGCTAATGCTCAAAGAGGTCCATTACCAAATTTACAAGTACCTTCGACTATAGTATCGCAACAACAAAATGTTTCACAAGAGGTTCCTAATCTCCAAAATCCTGTTTCACAAACACCTATTCAAAACGAAGTAACTGTACCACCTGTGACACTTGCAATCCCTGCTACAACAAATATACCAGCAACGGAAAGTATGGTGCAAATAATAGATCACATAGACGATGTTATTAGAAAAGATATAATGGCTGATGTGATAGATAAAGACGAAATAAATGAAATTATTGGAGATATAGAAGAATTAATAAAGGAAGAAATAACAGGCAGTCCACAAACTTTAGACTCTGTTAATACAAATACAGTAATTAATAGTCTTACTATTCCTCAAACTCAAGATATTCCACAGATACCTGAACGTCCAGAGCCTCGAGATGTAGACGAAGCTGTTTCACTTTCTGATTCTCCGCATAGCGAGGAAATGGCTATCGAAGAAATAGATTCTAGTACTTCTAACATTGCTGAAATTATAGGAACAGTTGCGATAGAACCATCAGAATCAAAAGCTATCATAGCTGAAATATCAGAAAATGTGTCTAATTCACAAGAAGAAGAAAAGTCAGAAACAAACACTTTTGATGAGAGAGTAATTCCAAATGAAGAAGTTACTCCAGAAGTAGAAAGTAACGTTGAAGATAATAATAAAGCAAATACAGCTGTAGAGGAAAAACAAATTATCGAAGATCTTGAAATTTTAGATTCTGTATCGAATGTAGAAACGGAAGAAAGTGATTCAAAGACACCTGATGTAAAAGAAACTGGTGAAGGTACTATTGAAGAAGAAATAGATGAGGTGGAGGACGAAGAAATGATTGTATCTGAAAAAGAAGAATCTTGCGATAATACAAAAGAACAAAAAGAATCTTCGGAAGAATTAGAAAATAAGGAATGTTTAGAATTAGATCAATTAGAATTACATCTTGCAAAAATTACTGGAGAACAACAAGATGTACCATCTGCCGAAGCTGCTAGCGTTTCTTCAGAAGTAACAAACGATGTTCCTAGTATAGAAGATACAGAGAAGTCGCAAGATATTAGTTTAATTTTAGAAGACGACGAGAGTTCTCATAGCATAGAAAATAAGAAAAAAATAATAGAAGAACAAGTTATCGAAAATACAATAGAAAGTACGGAATCATTAGAATCATTTAAAGAGGAACCAATTATTTTAATAAAAGAAAAAACTATTATCGAAGTAGCGGACGAGTTATCTGTAAAATCGCAAGATGTAACAGCTGAAGATACTTTAGAAATTTATACAGATGAATATAAAAAGGAGGACACTAAAGATTTTTCAGAAGATACAGTCAGTTCGACTTTACCAGGTGTTGAAATAAAAGAAGAGATGGAAGAAATAGAAGAATCTACTATAGCTGTAGAGTCTTGTCAAGATATTACATCGGAAGAAGTCATTCATACGGAAATGGAATCTGTAGAAATTAAAACGAAAAATATGTTTGACACAAAAAATATAGAAATTGTATCACAAATAAAACATGAACCAAAAACAGAAGAGACCGTACAACCTGCAAATTCTTTTATTGAAGAGAAAGAAATGATAAAGGAAGAGCACCAAATAAAAGAAGAAAAGGATATAAAAAAATGTATAGAAACTGAGCCATCGATAAAACAAGAAATTACTACCGAGTCTGTTGTCAGTGCAGGAGAAGAAACCGCAGAATTAGATGAAGAAGAATCTTCATTGAGCAAATTAAGTGGTGGACGAGCCATGAAAACATATTCGAAAAAACAAACTATCACTGTTGATAGTGAAACAGAAAATGAAAGCACTGGAGAAGGTGCTGATTACAGAGCATGGAAGAAAGCAGTCATGTTGGTTTACAATCGATTAGCTACTCATAAATATGCGTCTGTATTTTTAAGACCTATTACAGAAGATCAAGCACCTGGATACCATTCCGTTATTTTTCGACCAATGGATCTTTCTACTATAAAAAAGAATATAGATAATGGAACAATCAGATCGACTACGCATTTTCAACGAGATGTTATGCTTATGTTTCAAAATGCTATTATGTATAACAAGCATGATACTTTTATATATAAAATGGCAGTTTCTATGCAAGCAGAATGTTTACAACATATGCAGGTGAATATTATAATATAAGAATTACTATCAAATATATTCTAATTATATGCATTAGTATTATTAATATTTTACGAACATGATTTTCAGATTTTAGTACACGTGACAGAAGGAACATTCCGTAGGGAAACAAGAACTGCAGCAAGTAGTAGTAGCGAACTCAGTGAAAATAGTATTAAAAGAAAAAGAAGTCATATTACTCCAAGTCCTCATGACACTGATAGTCCACGTTCTAAGAAACGTAGAAAATCTGAAAATGATTAAAGAATTAATCTTATCTTTATTAAAAAAAGATTATTTTATTAATCATTTTTTCTCCACGTACATATATTTTTTGTATGATAAAAATTCGGAATTTTATCATACAAAAAATATTACCTCAACATTACCTTTCGAATATTAGTCCTTTGAACTTCAATGATGAGTCTCGCTTACCATTCTTCATTTAAATTCAAAAAGTTAAATCAATGCATACGTGAATAATATAGGATATTTTAATCTTATTCAGATATAAGATTAAATACTAAAACAAAAACAAAAAGAAAGAAAAAAAAAAAAAGAAAGAAGTAAACAGTGCAGACAATTTTTAATGTTTTTTTTTTTTAAATTATTTTGTGTATAACAACAATAACTAGCTGTCCATAAGTTGTAAATTTTTAAGTATATGGAAACATGACAAGTACAAATAATTAATATACGATAAATATAATGTACAGGAAAATCTTTTTTAAATAATGGGCCGTTATACCTGGATGGGTAAAAAATATATAATAAATAATCTAAAAGATGAGAAAGGTTACATTAATTATATGTCCCTTATAAGGAAAACAACTCTTTTAATGTCTCAATTAAATCTTAGAAATAAAGATTACTTGTATACTTCTGGAGAAGCTGTAAGTTAAAAAGATAATAAATACAAGATAACAGTTACTAAAATTAAACAATTAAAATGGTCAATACATTTATACATATACAGGGTATGTGCTGTAATCATATGAACAAATTTTATTCTACATTTTCGACTTTAGTTTTTCATGTAAAATCACCCCTCGCTTGTATCATCAGTTACAAGACACCCTGCATATATATAAAAATAAAATAAACAATCAATAAAAATATTAGTACTCTTTCAATAATTATTATATAAATATTTTACATATAATTCAAAGCCTTCAGTACCTCCGCCTCCTATATCGGATGATACAGATTTACAATTTTGGGCAGAGGATGAATTAAGTAATACGGAATCAAAGCACAAATTAATTAGAAGACACAAGCGCAGATATAGTTTAACTTATCGAAATCGTAATGAAATATATAATAAATCTATCTTAACTCTTCAAATTTTATATAACATATATACAAATCAAATTTAATGACAATTAAATTTAAAATATTTTGATTAGTATGTTTATTAAAATTACAGGAAAATTCAAAACAAGAAACGAAAAACTTCATTGCTCGAAACAAGATCATTATTTTGTTATCTCAAAGAATATAAAATAATAATTTATTTATTTTTGAAAAAAGAAACCTAATTATGATTTTTAAATAGTCGCGCTCGTAATCGATAACGCCGCCACTATCGATTTATATCATTCATCAGTTTTGTCGACTGTGAGGCGGAAAATAAAGATACGTTACTATATGTCATTCAATTGCAGTTAGTCCATTTTTCTCAATAAACAATATCTAATAATAATTAATGATAATTATTCTAAGAACATGACTAAGGGAGTGAGTTATTTTGTGCGTAATGATTGCAATCAAAATCAATATCAAAATTTAAGTAACGAATGCACGCACCAAAGTAAGTTCGATATCAATAAATTTTGTCGTAAAAAATAAAAATGTCATTGTTTATAACTACAAATTTTATTTTATAAGAAATACACAATATGAATGTTTATTATTTTAATTTAATTGTCTATCAAATACAATCATAATTTGATTTGATTTAAAAGAAAAATATGAGTACCTTTATTAAATAACTTCTAATTAATGTTTGTAGATACACCGACAACAATAACAACTACAACAAAATCACGGATTATCATTAACTTGATTGTATTCAGTATTATATCAGCACTTTTGTTCCTTTTTCCATTTTGGAATTTCCTTCACTATGACGGAGAAAATATTTCTGTATTTTCTTTTAATACGGAAAAAACACTTTTTCGAACTTCTGATAGATTTTTATCCTTCGGACTTGATACCTCCTTGTTGAGGAATATGAAAGAACTCCCCTTAATGGATGAAAGGTTTATTAATTTGGCGCGACATTTGAAACCTGCGTTTGTTAGAGTTGGAGGAACATCCGCGGATTGTTTATTTTTTAATAAGGTTCGTTTCTCTTTCCATTAATTTAAAAAATGTAAATTAAATATCTATACACAATTAGATCAAGTTATGCAGGAAAATCTATCAACCCTTAAAATAATATAAAATTAAATATGATACTGATTATATAATATTATGATCTTTATCTTACAACTTAATTTAATTAATAATTTATATGTATATTTAAATATATTCATAATTAATTCAGACTCTTACAACATCTGCACAAATAATAAGTCCCTTTGATGGTCAAGATATTAGTAATTTTACTATTACTGATAAAGATTTTGAATCGTTATACAAATTTGCAATAGAATCTGAATTAAAGATGCTTTTTGATTTGAACGTATTAATCAGATATCCGAATGGTTCGTGGGATGATACTAATGCTCAAGATATTATTTCATTTGCGAAACTATCTAATATGGATCTAGATTGGCAATTAGGAAACGGTGATTCTAATATTAATTTTAATATTCTATTTTATAAAAAGAAAAGTATAATCGAACATATCTATTATATTTATAAATTGCAGAACCGAATTCATTTTACCATGTATTTAATAGAATGATAACAGCTGAGCAATTAGCAAAAGATTACTTTCAACTCCGCAATCTATTAAATCAATTAGGTTTCCAAAAAAGCTTGCTCGTTGGGCCAGAAGTAAATCATATTGATGATTCAAACAAAGGACAATCTTATGCAGAAATATTTATGAAAAATGATAAAGATAGTATTAATTATGTTACTTGGCATCAATATTATCTTAATGGACGAGAAGCTGAAGTTAAGGATTTCATAAATCCTTTAACTTTCTACTATTTGCCAGTGCAAATTGAAAGCATGTTGAATACTATTAAACAATCAAAAAAATCTATTTCCATGTGGTTGTGTATGTTTCTTTTTTTTATAAAGTATAGTATATTACGATACTAGTAAATAATAAAGTAATAAATAAAATAATTTGCAGCTGAAACTAGTTCAGCATTTGGTGGTGGAGCTCCAGGCCTTTCGGATAGATACGTCGCAGGATTTTTATGGTTGGATAAATTAGGGTACAGTGCTAAAACAGGTGTAAACGTTGTTATAAGACAATCCTTATTTGGTGGAAATTATGCTATGATCGGGCCAGATCTTTTACCTAATCCAGATTGGTGGATTAGTGTAATATACAAACAACTTGTATCAGATAAAGTATTAGAAGTAACTTCACCTACACCTTTCAAATATGTCAGAATTTATGCTCATTGTACTCCAAAAATATCTTTGATTAATCGTGTTACTGCAATTACTATATTTGGAATGAATCTAAATAAATCTCCATCTAAAATAATGATTCAAGGAATCTTTCATAAATTAAATAAAAATGCAAAAATATTTTTATACAATATTACGTCTGATCTTCTAACTTCAAGGTATGCGCAAAGAAATAATATATGTTAATAATTGTAGAAAATATTAAGTTACCTAAATTTATTCTTTAGAAACGGTTTAATAATAATACAGTCGAATTTGGATAACTCGAAATGTTCCATAAGATTGAAATTTTATTTATTCATTTAAACTTTGCTGCAAAAATCTCTGCAAATCGAAATACAAATTTTCTAGAACTCAAAATATTTGCTACAACTTTCTTAAATTCGTCTATAATTTGCAAAATGCAAACCTATGTACTTTACGTAAAATGAAACTTCTAAAAATATAGTTCAAAGTATTTGAACTCTTTACCTAAGATTCGAGTTACCAAGTTTCAACTATATTAATTGTAAGTATTTTTATTTGATGCTTTTTATACAAGTGACAAATTTTAACAATAACATATAATTAAATTAAAAATAAAAATTAAGTATTTTTACAATTTATATATATAGATATAGATACAAATAGTTACTAATTCAAATTATATCAATAATCTTATTAATTATTTATTTTTAGAAACCTATTTCTGAATGGAGAAATATTGAAACTAGAAAGCGATGGTAAATTACCACCTTTCAAACCTATCATTTTGAACCCTACACAATTTATTACTTTACCACCATTTTCAATAGTATTTATGGTAATTCATGATATTGATGCTCCTGCATGTATTTCATAATATGACGATATAACGATTTTATTTAATATTATTACTATTATTATTATTACTATTATATTTATATATTACATTTTTCTAATGAAATAAACATTTATGACAAATAATATTATACGAATGAACAACATTTTATACTCAAATACTTTGTAGAAGCTATTAAGAGAATTTTTTTTTAAATTAAAAATTTCAATAAAACATTTGTGATCTATTGTAAGACATGCGTTAAGAATATTTCATCTTGTGAAATGTATATATCTGGATATATTAAAATAGTAGAGGAACAAAAGAAAGAAATTAATTTTTTAAAGCATCTATACAGATCTCTTTATATCTGATATATGTATATAATATGCATATCTATTAAGATTGTTTCAAATATTATTATTTTTCGTTATCGTTACAGATATAAACACTATAGGTGATATAATATTATACAAGTGGAATGGTATACAGATTTCTGTAAGATAAATTTCGTTAAACATTTTGATTTTGCTAATGCTAAAGAAATATATGGAACACAGTCTGTGTATAATTATTTCGTAGACGAAGTTTAGCATATAAAGATATTATATGTCTCCGAAAGTGCAAAATCATAACAACATTCTATACATTGTAACACACTATTTTTTTGTTTGTGTGTATATACATATATATATATATATATATATATATGTCCAAACATTTTTACTTACAATTTATATATTATACATATAAATATCATCGATAAGCTATTTAATTTTATTCTTGGGCAGAAATGGTAATAGTTTTACCTTTAGGATCATCAAATCTATCCATAGTACGAATATCAATGATCATAGCGAGCCCCCAAATCATAATAGAACCTAATATGACAGTAACAAATATTCCAGTCCAAATTGGGATAGTAGTAAAATTTACGCAATCATAAGCATCGCTAAATTTAGTAGCATCGATTTGTAATTGAATGTCGGACAATTTAACCAAAGTATTCTCTCCCGAAAAAATAATTTCGTTGGAACAATGATAAGAGAAATTAAATGGAAATACCATATCCGTTTTAGAAGTTAAAACTTCGGGATTTGATTTAACATCGGCTGCGCTAAAAGTTATATTTTGTAGAGAATAATAACCAGATGAAGAGTTTTCTATATCAAATCTTAAAACTATCTTAGACATGTTGGAATCAGTTCCCTTAAATGTTAATTTTAATTGAATATTGGTTTGAAAGACATATTCCTGACAATTGGATACAGTAGAAAGATTTTTGAATGAATCCATGTCTTTGGTCTGTAATAAAAAAAAAATTGTTATAAAATTCTATGTTTATTTGAAAAGTAAGAACAAAAATAATTTAACGATAAACTTACCTTTATTAATGGCAACTGGCTCCCATATAAAAGTACTCTTTCTCCTCTGATAATAAATTCCGTATTACTATCTCCAATAGTACAACTCTCAGGATTTGAAGTGGCATCTCTGATATTTCTAGATGTATCAGAGATAGTATCTACATTCGCTCTTTTAGTACGTTCTGAACGACTATAACTGCATGATCTTCCAGTAAGAGCAGCTATTAAATAAGGACTAGAATCTTTGATGTTTCTATATAATTCAGAAATACTATCCAAAGATATGATCGGTTTAATAACCAATTGTCCATCCGATATAGTGTCAATATTGTCATCATAGCTTTGATTGTAAGAAGAGAAATCTTCGAATACAGAAAGTGGTGATTCAACAGCAGGTAAATAAGCCAATAGACTTCGATTGGTAACTTGTCGTAGATCCTTAAATATCAATCATACTAATTAATATCTTAATAGAATAGAATATAATTAATGATACAAAATTATTATCGTAAACATTAATCGACTAACTTCTTTATGCTGGGTAAGATCTTCGACGCACAAACTATCTTTCACAAAAACAATAACCGGTGGTTGCGAATTATCCGTTTTACTGTTTAATATTTGAGTAAATTCCGATTGAGAAGTTCTCAATAATGGATTGACTGCAGTTGGACGAGAATTTAATTCGGGCGAGCTACCCCATAATAAAACAGGTACTGTATCACCCGATAATATATTACACCTTGCCGTTAATATATTACAAAAAATATAAACTAGAAAGGTTAAAATTAACGTACAACGTTTTATCGTCATGATAACTTTATCTTAATTATAATAACTATTTAATTTGTTTGACACACCTAAATCAAATGACAGAAAAAAAGACGAATGGCAATTAACTGTGGTTCTTAGCAGAAGGCAATCGAGCACCTGACCAGAATATATCGAATCTCGAATCTCGATCATGTGACAAGAACACGTGACACATCACACACCCGTTTCCGGTTTTCAAACTAAATTACGCTTTTTAATCTTATCATTATTTTAATATTTAATAAGAATATTTTTATTATCTTATTAAGTTATTTAATATTAATTATTTGTTATATATATACATATTTATATGTTTGTATATTACATATATTATACATGTACACATAAATCAAAAAAGAAATCAAATTAAATGAACGCACTAGCTTTGTATAATATCAAATTTGTTTATAATCATAAATAATATGGAGACAGACAAAAAAAACAAAGAAACTATACTTTATTCAGTAAGCATTCTCTGTATAAATAAATAGCTAATTATTTTTTGTATATTGTATTATATAAATTAATTTTATTGCAGCAACTTCAACCATGGAGTACAGTAGGAATACTTCCTTGCATGGAACAAATTGCTGGACCGCCAGTTCCCGTAAGAGTTGGAGAATTTTACAAAACACCACGTCCACATCCTTGGCGACCAACATTGGGTTATGAAATTATAGAAGCGTCACCTTTGTAAGATATTATACAGTACAAACGAGTGTTAGTTTTTCATTTAAAATCATCCCTTGTTCACTACCAGTATTACTTGTACCATCAGTAGATCCTGTATACATTTACCTAAATGATGTTTTCTCTGATAGAAACTTTGTTAAACTTTTTCTAATATTTTTAGACCTGAGCAACCTATAACGAATCAACTCGTAGATGCATGTTATATGCCAGGTGGAATGGTAACAGAACCCATGAAATTTCCAAATTTAGTAACAGGTTTTGATAGAAATCCTTCACACGCAGCACGCACTGCATTATACACAAGATATACTCCATATGATTGGGTACAAAATCAAATAAGACTTTATAATGAATCCAATGCTAATAGAAATTATTCTGAGAACTTACGGAAGGATACCGAACGTCTCATGCGGTATATATAAAATAATATTGGTTTTTATTATATATACTATTCAGTATATATATTTATTATTTTAAATATTAGATGATTTTTATATTAGAGAAGCAGATGAAAGGGTACAAGAAGGGCAAATGGATACAGGACGTAAATTAGGTGAAAGAATTACGGATACTTCATTTTGGCGAAATGAAGGAGCTTCAGAATTGCAAAGATTAATTATTGAAAATCAAAAGATGCAAGATTGTCGTAGAAATTTACAACAAACTATTCAAAATCTTGAAGGACAATTACACATTGCTCAAGAGTGTCTTTATTATCGTGAATCTCGAACAGGTTCATTACGTTGTATAATTAATTATGTCATTTACTTGTATTCGTTGTTATTCATTATTTTTTAATATTAAATTCTAATCTCCTAAAATATTAGGTAACGATTTGGTGCACGATCAGGCTGAACACGCGCTTCTTAAAGAAGTTGAGACTGTAAAAAATTGTCAAAAGAAATTGGAACAATTTACAGAAAAATGTCTAAATCAAGTATGTAATAAACAACTATCGATGTAACTTTTATCTTACTGTTTATATTCTTAAATTAATCGGTAATTTGTTATATTTTGTTTTAGCTTTCCGATGGTAGAGCAGTACAAAATCAATTAGAAATCGATATAAGAAATAAAGAAGTTGCGCTTGGTATTGATACCATGTGTCATCAGTTAAATAACTTTAGTCGTGGTTTGCAATATTACGGAGGAATTGAAAAATATGATTCTAGGTAGTTATAAATAATTATTTATATCTCTGATAATATTTCTTGAAGTTTTCTTACAAATTGATGAGATTTTATTAATTTAGTGTCACAGAAGCAGAATCATGGGCGGAAGCGTCAAACAATACTGTAAAAAAATCTCAATCTGAGAGATCTAAGTCCAATCAGCTTAGAAATGATATCGAGAGTGCTATAAACGCAGTCGGATATGATATGTGGGAAGCCTGGGGTGAAACTAACAATGCATTGGGTAGAAGAGCAGCGGAAATGCTAGAAGCGAAAGGAAAAGTCCAATCGCATTTGTACAAAGTAAATTTTATTTACATTTATTAGAAAATCTTGTCTATAATAGTAAATTTCTTTCTTTTTATCAAAATAATTATATTATTTGCGATTATTTACGAAATTACATAATCAGTTTAATTCTAGTAGAAAAAAGTAGAACTCGGTATCGTTCCGTCTTAGTTTTATTCAATTTGATGATCATAAATTTATATCCCACACATATTGTAGATTCAAGAAGAACTTTTTTATGTTGAAAAAAATCTACAATTGATGCAGAAAGCAATTGCTGATAAAAGTAGCTCCTTAAAAGTAGCGCATACGCGTCTCGAAGCCAGGTCGCGTAGACCTGAAGCTGAATTGTGCAAAGATTATGCTCAGCTTAGGTTTGTTTATTTAATTATAAAAAATATTTTAGTTTTTTCGCAAGTTATTTTTGTATTCTAAACTTTATTAACATTTTTGCAGAATGGTCAAAGAAGTAGAAACGATAAATCTAATGATACACGATATTAATTTGAAATTGCAAACATTCGAAGCACAACATCAGCAATTACTCTCTACAAGAGCTAATTTAGAAACGGATTTAAAATCAAAAGTAGATGCTTTGTTCATAGACAGAGAAAAATGTTTAGGTTTGAGACGAAGTTATCCAATGGCATCGGCTATAAAGTTTTAATTTTCTTATTCTAAACAATTTATAATTATTTTCATTTTACTCGCTTTTTGAGTTTTCTTCTCTCTTTGTTATATTTTATTTCTTTATTTAAAAATAAATTCTTTAATATTAAGATGATAAAATTCTTATCAACAAAACAATTATAAATTGATATACAGATATCACATTATTATTTTAGCACTCATTTACTATGATACAATGAAAAATCATTCATCATAAAATAAGCTTTGCTCAGTAAACTTTCCGACTGTACAAACATTTTAATAAGAAAGTAATAACTATATATATGTTTTTAATATTTTTAACATCTTCTTTTTTTACGCGAATTTACAGAATATCATCTAGAAAAGTCTTATAAAATATGCTTTACGGCTTAGAAAAACTATATACAACATTTGATAAACTTTTTTACCTTGAAGTTCACTCTGTATTTCTGATCCATTTAAACATTGCTAGATTTTGATATAACGTTTCGATAGCCTCGTTTGTATTGAAAGCTGGTTTTAATTTAAATTTTTTAACGTTATCTTGAAGAATACATTCTAAGATGTCCCACTTTTCAAAAAGCTTAAAAGAATTCTTAATAGGATCAACACATAAACTTTCACCTAAAATAATCACGTTAAATTTCACGATTAAATTAAAATCTTATTACTTGACAATGAAATTTTAGATTAAAAATTATTTACCATAAAGAATTGCACTGCTGTCCAAATTCGTTTGAATTTCTTTAGAAACTTCTTCGATTAAGTCCCTTTCGGATAAAGATTTTCCTATTAATTTTTTCAAAGTAAGTGCACTACACGAGTATGTATCGATTAATGGACGTAAAAGCGTATGTAAAAATTCCATATGCGTGACTTCTATTGGTGTTAAATCAAGCTGAAAAATAAGATTAACTGTAAGATATTATTTCAATGATATTAATAATTTTATAATAAATAAAAAAAATTAAATTTATTTTACAGAATATCGTTTCGGCCTTATAGGAACGTTTTCTGTACATTCTTCGTCTGAACTAATATCAAAATACTTTGAACATTTTCTACTCCATTTTTCTATATCCATATAACATTCCTGTAAAATCATTTTTATTAAAATAAAAGTAATGTCGAATTTTTATACGAACTTACCTCATCTAATTTAATAGAAAAAGAATGTTTGAGCTCATCTATAATTTGATCAATTTTTAATTCAAGCGTCTCACAAGGTTTACAAAAAATAAGCTCGTATCTTAACATATCACATAGGTTAATTATTTTCTTTATTAATTCCTCTTTAGTAAAAGTTTTATTGGTTAGAGTAACTTCGGAATTTATTACTTTGGGTATCGTTTCGATACAAATTACCGTTACTGAAAATATAATATCAATAAGAAAATAATATAGATTTAGGATGAAGTGAGTTCTTACCTATAGCGCTTTTCATAGCGTAATAAGGAAGCATAGTATTGCTGTAATACGATAATTCAATTAAACTTGATAATATTGTTACAGGAAAAACCTTAACGACATTTGATTTAATATTCTGTCCATCCACAGATTCTATTATTTCTTCTTCTTGTTGTTTGACTAATCCTGGGCCTAAGATATCCAACTGGAAATGAAAAGTTTCAATTGCTTCTTTATCATCATCATTAATTTAATTTATTAAAAAAGAAATAATATTATTATTTTACTAACTGCATGATTAATAATGTCAATGGTTTGGCCAGTGAATGCCAAATCATCATCTTTGAAATCTTCTCGAATTTCATTAAACGATTCTACTAATTCGTCTAAAGTACATCCATTTCTGAATTTATTTAAAAGTAGACAAGCGACAACATTCGTTGACATAATAGGAGTATATTTAGAACAATCTGAAAAAATAAATTCAACCAATTCTTAGTTTTAAATCTTTGATATTTAAATTTTTGTTTGCTGTAATAATTAGATATATGACAATTTTTTACATACCGTATACAACATGATGCGCTATTTTATCAACCAGTTGACGATGTTCTTCTACTACGAAATCTGTTCCATAAAGAGATGAATTAGAAATCGTGTATTTGAGAGTCCTGTCTTCTCTTGGCAATTTTTTAGACTGTATTTGTTGTAATTCTTGAACTGATTTCACCATTTCCTAATCATATACATGAATAAATAAATAAATAAATAGCATTCACATTTGCATAAAACATATAGATATATATAAATTCAATATTTGTTTTTTTTTTTTACTTACTTTAAGTGAAAATGGTTGACAGAAATTAATTTTAACAATCCCATAATTTCCCATTAACGTAGCCCACATAGCTTTTATAGTTGATCCAAAAGTCTCCATTTTTTTGGGTTGTCCTAATTGTTCTCTGACAAAGTTTCCGTCTACCAGACGCTCATAATTCATTGCAGTCGGTATTATTAAAGCATCCTCGATTGTACCATCCATATTAGCGTCGACAATAACACTTAGGATACCACCTTTTGGCATACATGGTTTACCAGTTCTTGTTCTGCCACCCTCGACAAAGAATTCCATGTTGTGACCAGCTCGAAGACTTTCCGTAATATATGTATGAAGAATGGCACGATAAAGAACATCCTTACGATTTGCGGATGAATCGATACGACGTTTAATAAAAAAAGCACCTAAACCTCTGAGAAGCCATCTATTTAGAAAGTAATAAATAATTTGTATTTGTGTCAATCTTTTATTAACCCATTATCATGGGTTGCATGATGGTGGCATGCATTATCGGAACATAAATCGTAGGGCAAGGGATTGATGTAAGTAGATCATTGATATAAAAAAGCAGAATAACACGTACCCAAAAACAGGAATTTTTAAATTATCACCAGCTGCAATCAACGGGTTTCTAATATTATAGATAAGAAGAATAAAACTTATCATAACGTAATCCAAATGACTACGATGCAGAGGTAAGAAAATTAAAGGCAAACCAGATTCTTTTGCCTTTGTCAACATTTCTACATGCGGAGAATAAACTATAGCCGATTGTGTGAAACAGGGTAATAATTTGTAAAGAACCCATGCGGCTATTTTTAATAAGACGTTACTAATTCTACTTTCCATGTCTAAAAGTATCTTTTTCGCTCGTTCTTGAGATTTTATCAAGGCTGCTTTTTCATTTATTTGATCTTTTATAGACATTTCGTAACCAGCTAATTTAATCGCTTCTTTTAATCTTTCATTGTTCAATACCTAAAAGAAATGAAATATTTTTATTTTTTCGAATCAATTTATTTAGAACAAATTAACAAATTTAATATTACTTACTGTCTCCGTTAATCTTGGATAATAATATGTTTTAACATTGTAAACGTGAGACAAATGACCAAACAATTTAGAAAATAATCCAGGACCGGAATCTATCGTCAATATGTTCGCACCATATGGGTCCCGACATTGTTGATTTACTAAACTTGCATTATTCTACAATAAAAGAAATAGAAATTTAATTAATTACCAAATTTTTGTGAACATCAAAACCCTTCATATTTATTTAATATCAATTTGTGTAATTATTAACATGATTTCTCTAACTTATCTATACAATCTTTAACACAATTTATAATAAACTTACTTTAGACGAAACCATAGTACAACGAGAGCAACAATTTCTTAATAATGAACCCGTTCTTCCATAACACGATGCAGGTAGCTCGTCAAAGGTCATTTTATTATATTTAGCAGTAGATAATAAATCATTATCTTCAGAAAATTTTTGTACAACATCTTCCCTTTTTTTACGCGGAATAACGCCTAAAACATAAAGGCTTGATATAAGTTTTCTGATAATTTTATGACAGTATATTTTAATATTATGTTCATGAAACCATTTTTGTATTATCTTTTTTTTCCATTCTATAATTATGATAAAACATTCCATTTATTTAACAACCCATTAATAACTAGTTTGAAATCAATATTTATCAGAATTGGTTTTTTTTAGTAACAGTAAAGTATTTTATTCGTATGAATTATAACAAATTTACCTTCCTCTTCAGTTTTAATATTTGGTTTCACGCTCTCCGCCCTTTTCTCCCATTTTACATAAACTTCTTGCAGTCGCATGAAAAGTACATCAACCATGTTTGTAGCTCTGTAAAGGAAACTTAATAAATAAAAAAAAAAAAATAATAATAATAATAATAATAATTTAATAAATATATATTAATATAAATTAATTAATACATTTTTTAACACGAATATATGTGTATAAAATTGATCGGAAACTATAGTAACTACAATAGCCAGATAATCTAATATTATATTCAGTATACCCCCCTCTGAAAACTTTATATTATATAGATGGAGGGGGGTGGGGTATATGTTTAATCTTACAAATTAATTGAAATTTTGTAACTAGCAAGATTACTTATGGCCGAGATGATGAAAAGACACTCAACTGCGCAATGTCTTTTTTACTTCGAATGATAATATCATATGACATGTAAATAAGGTATTAGATGTAATTCAATCTCCGATGGAACAAGTTTACCGAGAAATTATTATAGCTATTTCATTTGACTCCAAATAATTTAGTTTTATTTATAAAGAAATTTTTGTTATATTAGTAATTAAGTAAATTTTAAGCCAACACAAAGTGATTCGTAATTATAATTTATACTTAAAACGTTTTGTCCTCTATTTAAAAAAAGAATTATTTTGATAAGACTGATAAAGACGCGTAACAATAACCGTCAAAGTCCAAGAGAATAAAGATATCGTATATTTAAATTGAAGAAGAAAGAAAATAAATAATGGAAATGAACAGAGTTAATAGAAACAATGAACAAATTCTATTATAATCTTGAATTGATAATACATCATCGCTTCTTTATTTTCTATTAGGAAAATTTCTTTCCCGTTCTTAACATACTATTTATAAATAGTTTTTTAAAATTAACAAAAAGAACCCCGGTATTTTTTTTTTTGTATTTAATTCGAACAAGTGCTTCTGCTGTTCATCCAAATTATTGGACATTTTATTTTATCGAGTTTTAGATATTAATTTATGAAATTAAACTTTTTCGAAACCTTTGTGTGCTCCTTCTTTTTTTTTATATTTTCTTACACTTTCTTTCCAATAATTACAAATTGTACTATTCATTTTAAACGTAAATCAAAAATTTAACTGAAAAATAAAATATTGTTGATTTAATTCTATTGCGAATAAACACGTGTTTTTGTTATTCGCGTTATAATAACTTAAGTGTGGTGTTACTTTAAAAAGTATTATGAAATATTACGTATATTTTAATTTACACAAGGAAAAAGAATAAATTATAATATTTCTAAATAAATAGTGCCCCGAAAGTGAATTTTCTTGGTATAAACAATTCCTTTTTTTCATACTTATCCATAGTATATTAACATAAGAATAATTTTGTTTTAATAACAGTTAATAAAAAATGTAAATCTAGAGATAGACAAATTTGCGGACAATGAAAAATAATTACTATTGCAATTATCTATGCGCCACCCTAATATAATATTAAAAATAGTATATATTCTACTTTATACTATAAATTAATTTAAGCTTACTACAGAGTCACAAAATATTATTACCTGATATTGAAAAAGTAGTAAATCACCCCGCAGAAGAGGAAAATCTCGATGAGACCGTCCATTATTCCGCCGAGCATTGGTTCCCACCAAATTTCAAATTCAAATATTTGTGAAGTTAAGGAAAGTAATAGAAAGGGGGAGGGGAAAGGGGGAGGATACGATACAGAAAGAGAAAACAGATCTACTAAAAATTAACTGAATTAAATTAAAAGAAAAAAAAAAAGAATATTCTTTTTCTCTTATCGAAAGAGGATACAACTTAATTGCAGAATATTTAAATGTTTCTTTCTGCACGTGGATACTACTTGTTGGGTACTGTTACCTACCACCAACTCTACTATACTCTTACATTAAAACACACGAGCAACGATTTAACTTAACTCGAGTTTAATCATAGAGGACGAACTGACATACGATCGAACACGAACGAACCGAAGGAAACGTCACATAGATCGCATCAAGAAAGTCTACGAGTTGATATCCACCACCACCCCCCTACACTTCCATCTTCTCCTTCTCTTGCTACCAATACCTGTGCGTGTGCACTCGCGCACGCGTGAACACGTGTATATCCGCGTATGGGATTACTTTCTTTGAAAAAGTATTTTCTTCCTCTTCTTATACTTCTTTGCTTTTTTTTCTTTTTTTTGTTTTTTTCATGCAGTTTGACGGCGCAATGTTTGTAACGACGATTTTTATATTTGGCACGACGACTATCCCTTGAACTTTCTACCGATTTGCGTTATAGTTGGGTAACACCACCACCTTCATTACCACCACTCCGTCATCATTATCATCATCATCAAATTATCATCATCATCATCATTATTATCATTATCATCACCATCATCACCACCACCACCACCACCACCACCTCTTCCCTCCTTCTCCTCCTCTTCTTCTTCCTTCCCCCGTTGTTCCTCGATATAAAATACGAGAAAGAGAGGGATAGAAAGAGTCTGAGGAGAACAGTTCACTGACTTTTCGATACTCACTCGTGCGAGATCGTGAACTCAAACTTTCTTGCCTTCCCAATCGGAAGGCATGTAAGATTTTTTATTTTATTTGTATCACCAATTTTGTAATATCTCTTAGTTTATATTACTTGTATTTGATATTATTAGTTCGAAGGTTTGATGCGTTTTCTGAAATTTTTTTTAACATCTTTGTAACATAATTATTTCCGTTTGTATATTTTCTTTCAGGATTTGATTAAATATTAAATCATCTAGATTAGATATGAATGTATTTTTTTAATTTTATCTTTCCTAACATTTTGTTTTATTTTTCTTTATTTTTCTTACTCTTATCCTCTCTCTCACTCTTACTCTCTTTTTATTTATTTGAGATCTTAATCAAGATTTGATTTAATATCGAATCATCTAGATTCAAGTTCAAAGGTTCAATGGCTTCAACGAGATCTTTTTGTTTTTATTTCATCTTCTTGTTCTCTTTCTCTTTCTATGTTTCTTTTTAACTTTAATCAAAGAGTTGATTTAATATTAAATCATATAAATCTGATATTAATTTTTCAAAGGTTCAATGTTTCAACGAGATATTTTATCTTCGAAGTGTATCTTATTGTTTATTTCTTTATTATCTCTGTTTATTTATAATCTTAAATCTTAATTTGATTTAATCTATTTAATATTTACATAATATCTTTTTAATTTCAAGTAATCTGAATTTGATATTAATCGTTCACAGGTTCTGATATTTCAATGTGAAATTGTATTTTTATTTCATCTTTCTGAAACATCTTATAGTTTCTTTCTTTATAATTATCTCTGTTTATTTCTAATGTTAAATTTTAATTTGATTTGATATCAAATCATCTAGATCAGACAGTATTATCTACATTAAATATTCGATCGTTCAAAAGTTCAACATTTCTATGAGAGTTTTTTATGTTATCTTCGTAACATATTTTTTTTTTTTAATATTTCTTTTTTTATTTCAATCTAATCTAGATCGAATTTATCAATGTAAGATTAAATTATATAAATTAAATACTAATCGTAATAAAAGTTCAACGTTTTAATGTAATTTTCTTTTTTATTTTATCTTTGTAACATATTTTGGAAATAGTTTTACTATTTTTTTCTACCTTTTCTCTTTTTCCCTGTTTTTATTTAACTTTAATCTAAATTAGATTTAATTCATAAATAAGATATAATCATTAAATTAGTCTACTAGATCTTTCTCTATGAACGAGAACAAATCGAAGATATCTTCTTCTGGTTTCTCACACTTTTTTGATAGTCTTTAAAAAAGATAAATCAACATTCGTATTTAAATTTTTAGATAAAGTATATTGGGTAAATTGAATACGATGAATAATGTCCGATAAATGTTGCTAAATTTTGATTGCGTAATATTATTTATAGATATAAACATATATATATGAAAACATTTATCATTAATGTTTGTCTCTCATCCTATCTGGTTACAGATAAAAATAAATATAAGTATAAATATACATATTACATCTGAATATATATTTGTGATGAAATCAAACATAGACTCATTCGTTATTCTAATTAATCTATTATGTAATTGAATAACAATAAAAAAAGAAAAACAAGTGAAATAAAAACGAGAAAATAATAAGCACGATGTAATAACAATTTCTCTAATCGTTGACGTCAAATAATTACACATTCCAAGATTAAATGAAAATAAAAAATAAAAGAAAATTCACAGGAGTTAAGATTGAAAGAAAGAAATAAGAGGAAAGAGAAAAGAAAAAAGAATAATAATAATAATAATAATATTTAAAAAATCTACGATAAGATTCGACGCGTACACGACGAGGAACGGTCCATAACTGCGCTCAAACTTTAAAGCCAACACGACGAAATAATCGTAGAGAAAGGTCGCGTCGTCATAGCATGATTAAAAAGTTCATTCGACAAGAGATTCTCATACTACGAATGATATTCTCATTCTATCTCTTTCCCTTGCATTAATTCTCCTCTCGAACCCGATACATTTATAACGAAGAATAATACTAATAATAATACTAATAATAATAACGAAAAATGAAAAAAAGAAATATATGGAAAACGTAAAAAACAACAAATGCAAATCGCAATGATTTTAAAAAGATACCATGCTCGCGCGCCAGCTATCAACCAGTCTCTCATTGGTCATCGAAACGTGGCGTTACTTCGATTCGACCAATCGAATCGTTGATAATAACGCGCTATCGTATAAGGTGATTCTTGTATATAATGTATAATATATTCAAAGAAACACGAATGAGAAGTACTGATATATATTGCCAAATATGCCTTATTTTGCATTAATTTATGACGACATTTTAAATAATTAAACTTTATTATTATTATTGTTATCACCATCATTTTCTTTCCTTTAAAGTATAATAAATAATAAAATGAATTCATTTAGATTCATTCTGTATAATTATTTATATATGTGTGTGTAAATGCTAATGTAAATATATATATGTTTGATATTATATAAAAGATATGTTGCTATTGCATGACTCGTTACGTTGGTAGTTAAAAGTAAGACGATGCGTGTAAATTGCATCGTTTTTTTCATTCCTCTTCTCATTGTCAATTTTATATACGAATGTAGATGACGAAAGGTAATTTAAGATAGCGTGGACGATGCACGATTTAGTCTCTTCGTGTCTCTCTGTTTCTGTCTGTCTGTGACTACTGTCTGTCTTGTCTGTGTGCACGACTTACAAATTAATCCTATTGAAAGCCATTAGCGTTTTATGCCGGACGTTATTGTGTGTCAATCTGTTGAGAATGCATTAAGATTCTTCGTCTATCCCTTCATTCGTTCCTCAATGTTACGATATATATATGTATTCATGTGAGAACAAACCTTTTTTGTTTTTTATTCTGTACTATGCCCTGGCAATCCATTTTGTCTTTAAATAATTGTAATTTTTGTAAAAGCTTAATTTTTGAAACATATCTTTTTTTATCAATAGAATAATATTTTCAAAATATTAGTAACTTTAATTATCTTCTTATAACATTCTTTTAAAATGTATCCAACAATATTGAATGTGAATTTTTTGGATTTTTAATCGTTTAAAGATAAATTTGTTTATTCGTTTTATTGTTTTCTTTTCTTTTTCCCATATAATATTGAAACGTAACGTACGCATGAAAGAATAATAAGGAATATCGACATAAAGAAGTAAAATCAGAACAACTTTTACCCTTTTTCTTCGGTTGATCGCTATTAGAAAGCGTTTTACATGATAACCATGCATGCAAAGTAAATCACACGCGATACTACTTGAATACACATGATGTCAATCAACTGGAATACTATTTTCTTTGTATTTGATATGATTATACAACATATTCTTATCATGTGTTCCTAATTATCAACAACTCATTTCATTCTTCATGCATAATAATGAATCTTTCATTATGAAAGTGGTGTAAATTTATCTATAACAAAAAATATATTTCTAATCGATGAAAATTATTTGTTTCTCAATTTTTTTTTTAAATAGTTTTTACACCACTTTCCTTACAAGCGATTATTATAAAAATTATGTAAGTAAAGCGAATTATTCTTTGCTACTTTAATAAACAAGTCCACATACCAACGTATATTTATTTGAGTGTTTTTATAATAAAATTTTAAATAATAAAAATAGAACTTTTTTGTAAAAGTGTAAAATGAATCTCCTCGCTTGATCCTTTATCTTTAAAATAAACATTTGTTTATAAAAATAGGTTAAGAATTATTCCTGAACTAACTGCTGGCGTAAACGTTATTTCCGACATTTTAATGCAGGTATAAATAAAAGTCTTAAAATTATTTTCGTTCGACTATACTCGACCTTACAGAAAACATGTTACAAAAGCAAATATTATTTTATCTATTATCAATGATTATTAATGTCCATTTAATTTGTTGAATGTACGTAAATGAAATTTAAACAAAGATAGGTTTTAAATTACAGGACAATCATTTTCAAACAATATTCTAACTGATACCTATTATATTATTATTATTATTATTATTATAGTGCATAACCTATATCTATAAAAATGATTTATAATCGATAATAAATATATAAATGTTCACATTACCTTTGATTAATCTTAATCGTTAAAAACAGATTCTTCTTTCTTATTTATTTAATCACTAGGATAAGTTTAACAAGAATAAATATGTCTATGAAAATAAAATTCAATCAGATAGAAATAATAAGAAACACGCCACACTTGTTTCGTTCGTTTTGAATTAAGCTTCGCATCGAATAACAAAATAATGTCCTTTCTGAAGTTGTCGCTGTTGAATTTAAATTCAAAATACATTTCAAATTAAATCCCATGGAGACTACATGGGAAATCCGATTAAAATATTTCGCTTAAATCACATACATATTATATTTTTAATATTAATAAAATATTTATATATGTATAAATCAAAAACATTTTGTTAAATACATTTAATACGCGATATATAAATAACAATTTCCTTATCCCTTTTTAAAAGATAATATTTTTTGCAATATTCTGTACTTAAATTTGGAAAAAAACAAAAACGTTAAAAGAGTAAAACTTCGAAAGACATTTCCTTAGTCTTCTATTCTTCACTATACATTTATGAACAATACAGTAAAATATTTTACATAACATTGTAGAATTAATTACCTGTACATAGGTACTATTTATTTTGTTTTTTGTTAACTGTAAGCTTTCGTTTTTGGAATGGACAAAAAGCGGCATTTCAAAATGTTCTTATTATAATACAAAGTGCATACATTTTCTAAGTATGTTCAAAGATATATTCTTCTGCAGCACTATATATATATGTGTATGTTAATATTGAATATTATATATATATATATATATTACACTTTACAATTAAAAATTTCCTGCGAATGAAAAAATGAACGATCTAAAACAAGATAACAAAATCTTTCTTCTTTTTTTTTCTTCTTTCTATATACCAACGTAATTTTATTTTCTTGATCTTATATAAAGTATATGTTTCTATTGATAAATATAATTTTAATACCACTCTAAAAATTGATGTGTTAACATTTCAAAAATTATATTAGATTTTCCATTATAATATTAGAATACATTTCATCTTTTTTCATAATTCAAAAAAATCTTTTCTCTTTACTCTTGTTTTTATGTAACAGAATAAATTATTTTCAATAACGCATTGCAAAGTTCTGACTTTGTGATTAGCGAATATATCTATCTTTTCTTCCTACTTTTTTAGAGCAGTCATTCATTACGAGGTTTTATTTGAAAATCATATTAGTTTAATAAAAAATTAATGACGAGAATCTCTCGGATAAAATTCAGCGAGAGTACTGGTCGGGATTCTCTTAAGCATTTCCTTAGGGAAAATACGAAGTAATTGCCAACCAATATCCAACGATTCAAAGACCGTACGATTTTCGTAACCACCTTGCGAAATAAAATTCTTCTCAAATTTGGTTAAAAATTCCAAATATAGTAAATCGTCAGGAGTTAAAGCTTCCTCTCCTACGACAGCTTTCATAGCTTGCACGTCTTTACCGATAGCATAACATGCATACTGAAATATAATTATTGATTTATTTATATAGTTATAAATTTAGTGCCGATAAAACTAATCGAATCGATAAATTAATATTAATTTTAATTGACAAACTTACCAGTTGATTAGAAACATCAGAATGATCTTTTCGTGTCATTCCCTCACCGATAGCAGATTTCATCAAACGAGAAAGTGATGGGAGTACATTGATCGGTGGATAAATTTGTCTGTTATGTAATTGACGATCGACGTAGATTTGTCCTTCGGTAATATATCCAGTCAAATCAGGAATAGGATGCGTAATATCGTCGTTGGGCATAGTAAGAATTGGAATTTGAGTAATGGAACCATTACGTCCTTCGACTCGTCCGGCTCTTTCATAAATGGTTGCCAAATCGGTGTACATGTAACCAGGGAAACCACGTCTACCGGGTACTTCTTCACGGGCAGCTGATACTTCTCTAAGAGCTTCTGCATATGAGGACATATCGGTAAGAATAACTAGGACGTGCTTTTCACATTGATAAGCTAAGAATTCAGCAGTCGTCAATGCTAAACGTGGTGTAATAATTCTTTCGATAGTTGGATCGTTAGCCAAATTTAAGAAAAGACAGACGTTTTCCATAGAACCATTCTCTTCAAAATCTTGCTTAAAGAATCTCGCAGTTTCCATATTTACACCCATAGCTGCAAATACTATGGCAAAGTTATCCTCGTGAGAGTCCAAAACTGATTTTCCTGGTATCTTAACAAGACCAGCTTGACGACAAATCTGTGCAGCAATCTATTCGAATATAAAATAAGAAGTTAAAACATTAATATAGAATAAGAATGTGTGCACTTATAATTATTTAAGAAGGAAAGAACATTACTTCATTATGTGGAAGACCAGCAGCAGAGAAAATTGGAATCTTTTGACCACGAGCGATAGAATTCATAACATCGATAGCTGAAATTCCAGTTTGTATCATTTCCTCAGGATAAATACGTGACCAAGGATTAATAGGTTGTCCATCGATATCTAAGAAATCTTCAGCGAGAATAGTTGGACCCTTGTCTATTGGCTTTCCAGATCCATTGAATACACGACCCAACATATCTTCTGACACTGGTGTTCGAAGGATATCACCAGTGAATTCGCAATGAGTATTCCTTGCATCTATTCCAGAAGTTCCTTCAAATACTTGAACTACTGCCTTGGAACCAGAAACTTCCAAAACTTGTCCAGATCGCAAGGATCCATCTGAGAGTTTTAATTGTACAATTTCAGCATATTTTGGGTATTTAACTTCATCCAATATCACCAATGGTCCATTCACACCGGAAACGGTTCTGTATGCTGTAAAAATTATAATTGTCATTTAAAAATATCAAGTTAAGATTTAAAACATTTTATTTCATCGACTCTACCTTACCATCGTATTAAATCTGACAGCTTTTTAGTTAAACTTGTATTAAATCATTCGAATAGAATTAATTTAAATAAAAATATATTTTTCATAATTCTACAAATATAAAGTTAAATAAATAAACTCAAAAATATTACTGACGTTAATACAACAAAATTTTAAAATTTAACAGGCAGCATATAGTCTTCCAGTCACATGACGCGTGAACAATTACGAAAATACACAATTAGAAGATAAAAATATATTTCAATAAAAAAAAAATACACCAAAAATTAAATTATATCAATTATTAAACACACGAAATGTGTGAGATAATCGTAAATATAAATTAATCATAAATAAATAAAATTATATAAAATCAGCTGACTTGGTCGTAGGATCGATTAAAATGCTACGCCCAGTTTACTGTAAGTGGTATATGTTCTTCATTCGGATTACTTTTTTTCTTTTTACAGAATTATTCATTTGATTATACAAATAAATTGTACTTACTAAGGCGCGGCTGAGATACGAAATCTCGTGAAACAGCCAAAACATGTTCTTGAGTTGCTTGGCGATCGCCAATATTTTTCGAATACATTTTTTATTTTACAACGAAAATGGTTACAATCCCTACACTATGTTAGGTCCACTGAGTAGCAGAAGATACTACTGCGTCGAAGTAAAGAGAGACAGTGGAAGGGTAGGCACAAGAGGGAACAGAGGGGAACAGGGGGAGACAGGTAAGATCGAAACAGTACCGTTTGTATTTAAAATTATTATTTTTTAAAAATTGATTTAATTTATGTTAACGTTATATCGTAAAAAAAATTAATTTCTTTTTTAAGGTTAATGTTATTAGAGTCGATAAAAGAAAGTTAAGTATACAAATAATGGAATATAAGTTATTTTATTTTTCGAGTGACAAAGATGAAGAGAAGGCACGTGGGATCACGTGTCACAAACTAGGTAAATCATAGTATGTTTTAATTTTTAATAAAAACTTTTTTATTGGTATGAAGAAAATTCTGTCAGTGTAAAAATTGTTTATTTAATATTGTTTGAAAAAGTGCATGTTTATTTTTAAGGGATGGGAAAGAATTTATTTGAAATAAATAACATTATTATTTAATGTGTTTGCGAGGTAAGTTATCGACCGAGGTATGGCGGGTTTTTCAAACGATTTTTTTCATCGAATTGTAATTAAACGTTCATTGATAATTGTAAAAATAAATAATAATATTGAATATGGCATAGTGGTTTTAATTTTTATTTCAAACTAATAGTGTATATCAAATTAATTAATAGATATATTGTGTATTCCGGACAAAATTTGAAGTTTGCTCAAGGTACTAATAATCGTAGATACGGTATAAATGCAAGGTCATACGGTCCTGGTTCGCGTGCAACTGTAAGAGAGAGAGTAGAGACGGGAGTATGTGCATAGATATGGTCTTGAACAGTTTTTTATAACAATACATATCAACGAGTAAGATACGAGCATATTTATTAGACAGACAACTTCGTGACGTGATAAAACGATAGTGACGGAGCTTACTAGTTCTATCTCGTTTAATAATTGTCCTTCTTTTACATTAAAATAGTTAAATTTTCGTAATACTTTATTGACAGGCTTTTAGTCACTGACATCTGTCGCATACACACGTACATATATACATTCAGAAAAATAATTATTTGTGTCTACAAACATACAGAATATTATATATGTACATATTGTTTTGATTATTATTAGAAAATAAATTGTGTCGAATTAACGAGGACTAAATTGAATCAAACACAATGGCAGCAATCAAACGTTTAACCGGTTTGACCAAAGCCCTAACTTCTATGACTACATCTACAACAAGAATTTCTTGTTTACCAGCTATAAAAAAAAACTATTTTACCTATGTAAATGAACCGTCAATGCCAATACCAGGAAAGGAACCCTGTTGGCTCAAAACTGCTGATGAAGCTATTGAGCAAGCCAATCTTGATTCAGGTAATTTGTTAATTAATGGATCTTTTTATTAAACAATATTTTTACTTGTGTGCACATATTTAATATACTTTCATTGGAATGCAAATATTTACAATTAATGGATTAAATCATTTGTATTGTTGGATTTATGGAAAGTATGAGTAACCCCATAACACTATCAACATGTTGTTTGAATACCAAAGATCGATATTCGATTTGTTATTTTAAATGTATCGATTAAACATTTGGATTAAATTTAAATAGAAAATCAATTGATACTTGGGGAGAAATATGATGCAGTTGAAGAATAATCAATAACATATCTACTTACTTAAGAATATCGATCAGAACAGACCTAGTCTGTAAGCTACAATACGATTAAACATCTGTTATACTTGAGTTTATCAAATGTACATATTATAGTATCGAATTGTTCATTTTAGTTTGTTTGCATTTCTATTTGGTAATTTTATATTGTTTCAATTAATTTAAAATGATAAAATTATTTTAATTAAAAAGAAAAATAGATAATGTAATGTTCAATACTTTCATTGTTCAATATTTTTCATCTTTTTGTTCTGCCATTATCATAAATGTAATTGTATTTAATTGAATCAAATGATTTTTTGTTTTTCTTTGTTGAGGTTGTAAGGAAAATGTTATTTGATTACAATACTATTCACGAGACAAAGTCCAATATTATTTATAATAGTCGTATATATGTTTATAGAACATTGATAAGATGCATTACTAAAAATATTATCGTTTAAAATTAGTTATTTCTCTCGTCCAAAAATAAAATTATTAATAAATAAGTATCGTAGGGAATTTGGACATTAAAAAGAACTAGAACTTAGTTTTGATTAATTGGACTTTTCGTCCCTTTATTGGGACTTCTTTAGCAACTTAATCTCTAAAAGTTCAGCGTCTTTTTTATTTGAGTAGACATAAATTATTGTAATATTCGAAAAACTAAACATCTAAACTTCGTTATCTCTTAGTCCGTTATATTTAACTAAAAAACTCGTTACTCACTTGTTAGTCAATTTGTTTAGTCAAATATAACGGACTAAGAGATAACGAAGTTTAGATGTTTAGTTTTTCGAATATTATTCTTATTTATTATTATCGTTTAAATATTTTTTTAATCAATTATGTTATATTTCTTTAGTTTTTTATTAACAGTAATACATAAATTCACTTTTTGGATAATATATTTACTTAGAACAAATAAAATATTAAGGTTGAAATAAATTGTTTATGGTTTAAAAGAAATCCCCAAAAATATTAAAAAATTAAGAAATAATGTATAAAGTCTATATGCTTAAGTTATTTACATTAAATTATGCTGAGTAACATAAATATCTATGCGTACGCGCATGCGCGCGCAAGTATTTAATTTAAAATTTATGAATCATTTTAAATTTAAATTATTATCATATTGACGCGTATCAAAAAAACTTATGTAACTTCAATCTATCAATCATATAATCCCAAATAATTAATAACTTTTTAATTGCATGGTAATGCTTTGTATGAGCTTATAAAATACCATTTATTTACTATACCAAACTAAATGATAAAAAAAATAGGAACTCGCTAGCGTATTTTAATGGGTAATCATTTTCAATTGACCGGATATATGTATATAAGTAGACATTACTATAGACTCTTCTATTATCATCGTACCGATTTAAATTGCAGTGCTGAACAAAAATATTGGTACGAATTATATTTTCGTATAATATTCTATGTAAATTTGTAAAATATCAATTAATTTCCGGTCGAATTTTTGAACAATTTTTTTATCATGAAGAATATATGATAATCTTATTTTGAAATAATATTTCGTATTGATTTGATAGAATGAAATTTGCACATATGTATCTATTTGTGTCTGTATAAATTTGCATATTGAGCCTTGACACATATACGTAAATATCTATGTATATATGTAGGTATATACGTAAACATACACCTATGAACATTAAAGCTTTATATTTGCTCGACGTATGAAATAAAAAATATATCTATATATTATATTTTATAGATCAAATAGTATTTACCCAAGGAGCAGCAGCTACACCGATTGAATTACTGAGAGCAATGACTGATTATGGAGTTCGATGTGACGTGAGAAATGTACGTTTATATCACATGCATCTAGAAGGACCTGCACCATTTGCTTTACCAGAGAACGCAAGTATGAAGCTGACTGGATCATAATTATTTTTACAAAGTAAAAAAAAACAAATTCAAATCGAGTTATGTTTGACGATATAGTATTTAAAAGAAAAATTTATATAAAAACTCATTGAAATATTTGTGAATCGTCATCAGTAAGAAAAGTATAAGCTAATGTAACACATTGATGATCTAAAGGAAAACTTCATTTGTACATAGAGCATTTTAGATCAGTGAGTTTATTCATTGGTGGCAATGTAAGGAAGGCAGTTAATCAGGGTAATGCAGATTGTATTCCCATATGTCTACATGAAATTCCAAAGTTATTTAAACGGGGCTATATAAAACCCGATATTGCTTTAATTCATGTTAGTCCACCTGATTCTCATGGTTATTGTTCGCTTGGAACTAGTGTAGACTGTGTACGGTCTGCCATGAGTAATTCTAAACAAATCATAGGTAAATTTTCAATAATCTTTACTAACTTTTATTAATTTTTTTATATGTATATAATTAAAAATTCAAATAATTATTTTTTTTTTTTACAGCATTAGTAAATAAACATATGCCAAGAACATTTGGAGATGGAATAATTCACATCAGTCATATAGATTTTGCCGTTCAGCACGATGTCCCGTTACCAACGCATCCTGTGAATAAGCGTTCGAAGGAAGAAGATCAAATTGGGAAAAATATAGCTGAAAATTTAGTCGTAGACGGTGCTACATTACAAATGGGTATTGGTAGCATTCCAGACGCAGTGCTATCAAATTTAACTAATCATAAAGATTTAGGTATTCATAGTGAAATGTTCAGCGACGGTGTTTTGGCACTTGTTAACAAAGGATGTATAACGAATAATCAAAAGAGTATGCATAAGGGTCGTATCGTAGGATCATTTTGTATCGGTACTGAAGAATTGTATAAATTTATGCACGATAATCCTTTTATAGGTACGTTCAAACATTTTTTAATTAATTACTTGCTTATTTATAATCAATTTAATTTTATAATCATTATAAAAATATTTGATTTTACAGAAATGTTAATGGTAGATTATGTCAACGATCCTAAAGTAATTTCTAGACAACCTAAAATGACGGCGATTAATTCTTGCATAGAAGTTGATATTACTGGTCAAATTTGTTCCGATAGTATTGGAACTAGAATGTATTCAGGTTTCGGTGGTCAATTAGATTTTATTAGTGGAGCAGCAATGTCAGACGATGGTTGTGGGAAACCGATCATAGCTTTACAATCACTAACTAAAAAAGGTGAAAGCAAAATTCTGCCAATATTAAAATCAGGTAAGTCCTTGTTTATCAAAACAATAAATTACTAGTATCATTGCATGTATATTATTCTTTGATTAATATTGATCAATTTGTTAACAGGTGCTGGCGTTGTTACTAACAGAGCGATTGTTCGTTACGTCGTGACCGAGCAAGGAATTGCATATTTATTCGGCAAAAGCTTACAACAAAGAGCATACGAATTAATTAAAATTGCTCATCCTAATCACAGAGAAGCATTAGAGAAAGCTGCTTTTGAACGTTTAAAAGTAATGCCGGCGCCATAAATTAAGCAACAATTTACATGGAAAATTAACATATATATATATATATATGCATACTTATAGTATAATTTACCAACATTTATTGTCTCTAGATTCTTTTTTTTTCTTTCCAATATTTTTTTATTGAATAGAGATAAATATTATAAGAGTATTTATAATGAAAAAAGTGTACAGCTTTATATAATCCGCATTAAATTCTAATGTGATTCGTAAAACATTGTTTAGGCATTTTTGTTATATGTTAATCGTTCGAGTGCCAGGAATCTTTAAAAAAAATCGTGTCGACGAATGCCAAGCAATCACTATGTTTGAGTAACGTGGCACTTGTTGGCAAGAAATCTGAACAGCGCTCTCACGCTACTTGAGACTCAAACGTTTAAATGTTAAACAATTATTCTAAAATATCTACACACACACAGACAATACTAAATTTTAAAACAATAATTATAATAAGCAATTCTAACAACTCAAATTATAGGCATTTGTATGAAAGCACGTTAGAAAAAATAATTTACATGTAAACCATTTTTTATATACAATTTTTAGATATTCATTTACATGTACTAATTGTAACAAATGGACAAGTTCATTGTATTCGAAAAGAAAGAAAACAAAAAAAAATACATAAAAGTAAATAATTTTACGTTAATGTTATTTTACTTGTAGCTGTTGTTATATTTTTATTTCAAGAAATATTAATGTATATAGAATATTTTTGTAAATTAACGATAAAATACAATTTCATTTATTTTTTTTAATCTAAGATTTAGGATTTTTTCTTTAGAGTAATTTTTTAAATAATAGTAAGAAAATAAATCGACGAATATCGAGTTTGATCGGTAAAAAATTGGAATTTGAATATCACAAGGGGCCTACTATGATCATATAAGAAAAATCAAATATCGTTAGACACGATTTTCAAATAGCAATCGTGGAGATGGCAACGGTTTTTAAGTCTTGGAATATTTACGTCTGTCATTGATAGAATTTTAGAGCATGAATTATCTAAATTTAAATGTTATTATAGGGCATAATCAATTGTGCCGTATAAAATTAATTAAATCTGTATTATTGACATAATTTATTTAATATTATTTATAACATATATATTTATATATTTCATTTATATATTTCATTTATATCTCGTGATCGTGAAAAATGTTTCGAAATTTGGATTCAACTTTTAACAAATTGCGACCAACAAAACCGTTTAATTTATGTGGTTTGAGATATATACGGGAACCATTTCAACCCTTAAAACGTTGCCCGCGATGGGTTTGCGTCGAAGATGCTATAAAAATAATAAATTCAGGTAAACGATATTATTATTATTTTGAATATTATAAAACTATAATAAAAAAAAAACTATGTCATATATTAATTATTTAAATTTCTTGGATTAATTGAGAGTTGTCAAATATGTATTGCATAATCTTTGTTGCACCAATGGACTTTTATTATTTCAGAACATTTAGTATTTATACAAGGTGGTGCAGCAACTCCGTTGGAGTTAATAAGAGCAATGACCGAACATGGTGTCTGTAATAATTTACGTGGTGTTAGACTAATACACATGGGTTTGGAGGGAGATGCACCTTTTGCCAATCCTGAATTTGAAAGTACAAAAATTAATGAAATATTCATCATTACTATTTCCTAATTCAATTTAATAAACGTCATTGCATACATTTCTTCAGAACATTTTAGATCAATTAGTTTTTACATTGGTGCAAACGTTAGAGACGCTGTAAACGAAGGCAGAGCAGATTGTATTCCATTATTTTTACACGAAGCACCAAAGCTTTTCTACGAGCAAAGAATTGTACCCGATGTTGCTTTGATACACGTCAGTGCACCTGATCCACGTGGATTTTGTTCGCTTGGTGTTAGCGTTGATTGTACACGAGCAGCTATTTGTACAGCCAAAGTTATAATCGGTTGGTAGAGTAAACAATTATTATTATTTCGTATTATCTCCATTTGAATTATTTGTTTTCGGATTCTTTTTAGCACAAGTTAATGAACACATGCCTAGATCGTTTGGTGACACCGTTATACATTCCAGTCATATAGATTGGGCAGTCAAATATGATTGCCCCTTACCTTGTGTAGCCAGTACTCCTCCTAATGAAATTGAATTAGAAATCGGTAAATTCATAGCACAAAGATTGGTCGAGGATGGTGCAACTTTGCAGCTCGGTATTGGAAACATTCCTGACGCTGTACTCTGTGCTTTGGCTAATCATAAAGATCTCGGTGTACATTCGGAAATAATTGGTGATACGATAGTGGATCTCGTTGAAAGAGGAATTATAACAAATAAATATAAACTCAAACATAGAGGACGTTTAGTTTGTTCGTTAGGAATCGGTACTAAAAGGCTCTACGATTTTTTACATAACAATCCTTTCGTTGGTAAGCTTAAATATATTAAATCATATTTTTTGTGTTTAAATAAGAAATATGATCTTTAAACTGAACAATTCTTATTCCAAATAGAAATGCTAGCAATTAATTACGTTAATGATACTCGAGTTATATCGATGCAGCCAAGGATGACTGCAATTAATTCTTGCATTGAAATGGACCTTACCGGACAAGTATGTTCCGATAGTTTGGGTTGTAAAATGTATTCTGGTTTTGGTGGTCAACTAGATTTCATACGTGGTGCTGCAATAGGTCAAGACGGTAGAGGAAAATCTATTATAGCATTCCCATCTATTACGAGCAAAGGAGAAAGCAAAATACAAGGTGTATTAAAACTAGGTATACTATAAAAAAGACTCAAATAATTTTCTTTTATTTAAGTAGATTATCTGAATAAATAAATTAATTGTAGGTGCCGGAGTCGTTACTACGAGAGCGCACGTTCATTACGTAGTTACCGAACATGGTATTGCTCAATTATTTGGTAAAACATTACGACAACGAGCTAACGCTTTAATCCAGATAGCACATCCCGATCACAGAGAATGTCTTGAAAAAGCAGCGTTTGAAAGATTAAAAACTATGCCTACGAAATATTTGTGAAAACAAATGTTTTACGAATTAAATCGTCAGATAAATTATTACCACTTTGACTGTTCACTATGCAGTTTATATGTGCAACTAAATAAATAATAAGTAAGTCATTTTACAATAAATATACGAAAATTCTTTTTTATTCCTTCGATCATTTCTTTTATGATATACTTCATAAAGAAAAGAAATAGAATGAACACAAAAATAATATGGCAGGCAATATACAAAGCTGAAATATATTTAAAATACCTAAAATAATATCTTTGAATCTACTTTTACAATACTAAAAATTAATACCTTCTGGCAATGTCCCCTCTTTCTTTCTCTTTTCTACATTTTCGAAATATTCCGAGAAATTAACGTAAGATTTTATTCTCGCATTTCTATCCGTCGGTCTTGCACTAGACGAAGTTAAATCAGACGCAGTCGAAGTTTCGCTCGTTGATATATCAAAATTACTTTCCATAGCGACCGAACTTGTATTCGAACAATCATCGTTGTCTGTTAATGTACACATTGGTACTGTTTGAACTATTGGATTGAATCTTACCGCTTGACCCGTTGGACTTTTTAAAGCATGTGGTAGAGGAAAATTGAAATTTCGTACGAGGAGTGTAATGTCGTTTCGTTTACTAGTAGTTAAAGTACTTTGCGAGTTACTCATGTTAACGTCATGGTGAATTCTTACAATTTTATCTACTACAGCTTGAGCGACACCCGTTAACGTGGATTGAACGCGAAACTAAAATCAATATGAGATTTTATATTCACACAAATGAAATTTTCTAAGATGTAATGTAAATTATTATAACGAATACCTGTTCAACAGCCATAAGAGCTAATTCTTTATTAACTTGATCGGTTCCTGTTGCTTCTTCCAATGATTTATAGAGTCCACGAGACATGAGTAATAAAAATCTGCACGAATCATCTAATTCTATTCCACCATGAATTTCTGGTTCTGCTATAATAGGCTCTGCCTTGGCAGATGCTAATTCTTCAAATTCTCTATATCCACCTTTAACAAGATAATTTCCTAGACAACGTGTATTTTCTTGATTTCCAAGGTGAGAACCTTAAATATCATAGACAGCTCTTAATAATTATTCTGAAACAGATTCGTTATACTATATACATAATTTACATACGTGTGTGTCTTCTTGTTTAAATAATGAACACACCTTGTCTGATAGAGTCTGTGTCTAAACCAAGTTGAGATAACCGTAAAAGTTCATCTTCGTTACGTAAATCATGATCGACGCTTAACTGAATAACTCTTAATACTTGATTATCATCCGTTTTACATAATAATGCTCTGCTGTCTCCAACATTTGCGACATACAATCTACCACTATAAACAAGTGCAACAACTGCACTTGTTCCCGCGGACAATTCACAATTTAATGAATTTAATTTGTCGACCTATGAATAAACTACTTACATGTATTAATCTATATGAAAATAATATTTTTAATGAATAGAATAATATACTAACCAAGTGAGGAAATTTTTGATATGTTTCATAGGAATTCAAACCATCAGGAATATCAAATTGTAAACTTGTGCGTTCTGCTAACAAATCACCTATGGAGTCTAAATATCCACGTTCCACCGATATAAATGCTTGTCTGAAACAGAATACGAAGTTACATTCAATTGTATTTTTATTCCAATTATTATTATCGAGAATATTTACCTAAGAACTTCCTTTACTTCCTCATCGGTAAATTTACCATTTAATTGCCCAAGTAAAATTTCTGCCGCCATTCTTTGCATGGCAAAATTAGCAGCTTTTGTTCCTTCATGACCATCAAATACACCATAGAGAAAAGTTGTATCGTCGTATTTGCAATGAAAGCTACGGTCTTCAAATGGATGTTCTTCTTGACGATATCCATCCTCGCGATAAATTTGATTAGTTGAAAATCCTACACCTTTAAACGATCAAATGTTACAAATATTAATTTTAATTTCAGTTGAAGTATAACAGATATGTATAATAAATATTCATTGTTTTATTAAATGGACAATAAATCTTTTTCGCACACATAGTTGTACTTAAATATGATAAAAATGAAAATAAAATATTGTTGGAAATTAATCGAAGTGTTACAAGTGATTTAATTATAATACTAAATATTAAAATACACATACCAGATTGCTTACAAACAGGTAAATCATCTGTCCAATTGTATTGAGTATCTTGGAATGGCATTATGTTTATGCACTCTGCCCTTGATGGCATTTTATCAAAGTTCACTTTATAACGAAATACGTATTGTTTAATTGATTTTTACACTGTTTTATATAACAAATATTATCTTATTGTAGGACAACATAACATAATGTAGAAGTTAACTGTACACCATACTGTTTTCAATAAGCCTATAGGAGAATTTTTTAATTTTTTTAAAGATAATTTCTGTATTACCAATTATAGGTAACTCTCGATAAGTCTAATAGTTTTTATCTTTCGACACGAAGTGCGCTAGTGAACTATTAATAATGATATTACCATATGAGCAAATAACACACAAACATACTATTCACAGATGCATTCAAACAAAGATAAAAAGAAAATAAACAATATGGGATATATATATATATTTTTACCATTTAATTATCATTTAAATGCTTTCCTCGAAAACTATCAGAAAGAAAAATTCAAAGTGTAATATCAGCAGATAATTTCTTTAAATATGTAATTGGTAATGATGCAAAAATTGATATCAAAGTCCATCGATAATGACAATTATTTATACAATTATGTTCCAATTAAATATATTGAATTATTCTTCTTGTTTTTTAAATAAAAATTTTCAATAATAACTGGTCAGTTATATAATAAAAATTTGGAAAGAAAGCAATGTTAAAAAAGACCCTAATCATATTCGGACTTTGATTAGTTGTTTTCAAGGTAACAACCAGTTTCGTACCAATAATTCATTCGATTGACATTTTAATAGATTTAAAGTATAATTCAATATATAATTTCAATATCTTCAGAAATCCTTGATTCTTCTTTCGATAAATCAAAAATGTATATTTTATTTTTCATCAATTAAAATGATTTTCTGAATTTTGTTACATCATAAACAATTTTGTTATTAAATGAATACTTCAATTATAAAAAAGATGATTCCATTTAAAAACGTAAATTGCAGTGCGTTTTTTGTTCAAAACTCGCAATGAATAATAATAAAAATTATTGTGTACATTGTATGCACAAATGATGTAAGTAGGTATAGTTAATTTTTTGGAAGAGAATAAAATATTCGACGATAATTCATAGGATACGTAAGCAAAATTAAAGTTTTCTTTTTCTTTTTCTTCTTCTTCTTCTTCTCCTTCTTCTTTGTTTCTTCAATCAAATACATCCCCCCATTAAAAGACTATAAGAAGACAGCAGCAGTCATTTGATGATTATACAATTTACGATCGAGCTGTTTACTATAAAAAGAGAAGAGAAGATTCAAGCATCGTTCAGTAAACTTCAGACCTCGATCTCGAGAAAAGTATCATCTATCAATATGAAAATCATCGTTGCTTTCACAATTGCTCTCTTCGTCGGTGCATTGGTAAGAGATAATTTCATTATTTTTATATTATTTATATATAAGATCATTCAGAATGCAATAACTTGAAATAATAACGTGATAAAGTATACAAATATTTTTGGAAACTGTAAAAAACATTTCGACATTTTTATTAAATGTATAAGACAGCCATTGTGAATATTCCTTCTAAAAATACATTTGTCTATATTAGTTTCATCAATTTAGTACTCTTTAAAAAACTAAAATTAATTTAATATTTAAAAGACAAAATAGTACTTTACAAAGTTTTAAAAATTCAGGAAATGATTGTAAGTTATTTTGAACCATCCTGTATTGTTAAACGCGAGACCAACTTTGATAACATAAATCAGATTATGAATATATTTTTTAATATTAGGCACTCACCGATGAACAAAAGGCCAAACTTAAGGAATACAAGGATTCTTGTATAGCCGAAACTGGTGTCGATGCTGGTAATTATAAAATATCTTATATTCGTTTAGACGAAACACTAATTTCGTCGCAAATCCAAATATCAATTGCTTCATTTTCCTTTTAACTTCTGTAAAATACAATGCAATTTTATTATGTTTGTTTTTTAAGCAATTGTGGAAAATGCAAAGAACGGAAACATCGCTGAAAATGATGAAAAATTATCTTGCTTCGCTGCTTGCTTTTTAAAGAAAATGGGCATAGTAAGTACTCCAGCGAATTGAAAAAACAAAACGAAATTGATTTTCTTTTATATTTATGAATCGTTAATAAAATTTCAATTTCTTTTTGTTTTGTTTTTTTTGTTGTTTTCCAATAGCTAAGTCCGGAAGGAAATCTTAACGAAGAAGTTTTATATGCCAAATTACCGAACAGTATTCCCAAAGAGAAAGCTGACGAAGTTTTCCAGAAATGTAAAAGCCTTGGTTAGTATTATATTTATAATCTACTTATTAAAATTATCTTTAATAATTAACGCTGTTGACTTTATTAAACCGTAATCAATGAATGATATTTTATTTACGTTCATAAATTTTTCTTTTTTGCGGTCATTGATATGAACCAATGGAATAACGTTATCAATATGTTTCAGGTGGCGCTAATGTCTGCGAAAAAGGAGGTAATCTGATGAAATGTTTCTTAGAAAATAAAAAATTCATCATATTGAATTAAATATATTGTAATTAAATATTGTAATTAAAATAATCAATATTTTTTTCATACTTTTGTCATATATATATATATATATATATATAAGTGAATAATTAATTGTAAATTGATAATTACAACACAAGCAAATACCTTCCAATTGTTTTTCAAATAAAGTACAATATTTTATCACATAACATAAGTTTATTCCTATTTTTAAAAACTCTTTTCTTATGAAATCTCCTTCTTTATAATCAAGCATTGAACTCATGTATCTAAATAAAAAAAAAATATTCACATGTAAAAAGAAATCCCCTTCGAAAGTGCACGCATGCATTCGTGCATGTATATAGGGTGTCCAAATTATTTTTGTTATAATTTTTTAATAAAATATTTACGAGTTTACGTTTGTATAACATTTTGTATTTATTTTTACTCGTTGGATATGTTGATAAAGATATGCTGAACAAAATTGGTACACCTTATATAATCAAATTCAATAGCAATATGTTACTTGCAGTATGATATATGAAATCAATTTATGTTAAGTGCATAGGTGTATATATATGTTTACTTATTAATTAATATAGACCAATCTATGCAAACATATGTATAATTGTTTTTGCTTATATATAAATTATTTAAATTATTATTGAAGTATTAAGAATGACTGAAAATCGTATGAAAACTATATTTGAATACCTTGTACTATCCAATCCAATCCATTGTAAGTTCCACGTTGTCGCATTTGTCAGCTGGACAATATGAGTTCGAAAGAAAGTAATATTTCAGCGTTGTACGCGGAATTAAATAAGTTAGGACAAAATGGGGAATATGAAAGAGCATTAAAAACAGCTAATAGAAGTACGTATTATTTGAACTATAAGATGTCTCTTTAATTATACTATTCTAATGTTTAAATGCCACAACGTTTGGTTACTATATCACTTTTAACCTATATTTTTTTAAAAAACACACTTATGTTACACGTGTTAGTAATAATTAATTATTAAGTAATGTAAGAAATACTTTATTCAATTGTTTATTATCCAAGTTAAAAAAACTAAAAAAAAAATTCCTAACCTATATACATAATTTTCTATTTTTTATTTAAATAAATTTATTTATCCTTTTTTTATTTTAGTTTTAGGTATTTCTCAAGATGAGGAAGCTGCGTTCCATTGTAAAGTCATCTGTTATATCCAGTTATCCAAGTTTAATGAAGGATTGCAATTAATAATAAAAAATCAAAAGTTGGCAATGTATGAACAAGTCATTTAAATTCTACTTACAATACAACATTTTTATTTCTATAGATATTCTAACTCTTTATTTCTTTCTTTTTTCAGAAATCTTGACTTTGAGAAAGCTTACTGTCTGTATCGTTTAAATCAGGTAGCTGAGGCATTGAAGGTTGTCGAAAGTATACAGAATCCCTCGTTAAAAGTAAAAGAATTGAAAGCACAAATATTGTATCGATTGGAAAAATATGAAGAATGTTTCGCGATTTACAGAGACATTATTAAAAATTCTGATGATGAATACGAAGACGAGAGAGAAACGAATTTGGCTGCAGTTCTTGTTAATCTTACAATTGAAAATTCAGTGAGGATTATGAATGTTACTTATAAAATTATTCCATTAATTTCCATTATTAAAATCATCTAATCTTATTTAATATAATTTTTTAGTCTACAGAACTTCTATCATTACAAAAGGATACTTATGAGTTGACCTACAATGCAGCTTGTCAATTGATTGCTTTAGGAAGTTCGATCGATAAGAGTATGTTAGTGGAAGCTGAGAAGAAATTGAAAACTGCTGAGAAAATGTGTAAAGAAGGTTTAGAAGAAGATGGAGCTGGGGAAGAAGAAATAGAAAACGAACTTGGTATCATCAGAGTACAACTCGGTTGTTGTTTGCAACTTCAAGGACGTGAGAAAGAAGCACAAGCATTATACACGGCTGCTTTGAAATCCAAGCCCGATGACATAGCACTTGTCGCGGTGGCGAGCAATAATCTTGTTTGTTTGAACAAAGATCAAAATGTTTTTGATAGTAAGAAGAGAATGAAGAGTGCAACGCATGAAAGTTTGGAACATAAGTTGACTTCAAAACAAAGAAGAACTATTGCATATAATCAATGTTTATTAGCTTTGTATACGGATCAGGTAAGAATGATTGTAAGATTATACTTCAATTATGGTTTTGTATATTATAAATTAATTTTTGTTTTATATAGGGCGAACAATGTCAACAATTGTGTAATAAACTTGCTAAAGATTATCCAGCATTGGCAGCAGATGCAATGCTTGTCAAAGCTATTCAATTTAGCAAGGATGGTAAAGCTCAGGAAGCAGCTAAATTGTTATTGGAATACGCGACTGCTGAAAAGGAATTGCAAATGAAATTAGTCGCTGTACAACTTCTTTTAAGTCATTGTGAAAGAAAAGAGGCGATTAATATACTCGAAAATTTGTCGGAATCTGACAAATCGTTGCCTGGTATAGTCAGTGCACTTGTTACGCTTCATATGGCAGACAATAATAGGGATAGAGCATCGGCTGCATTGAAGAATGCAGTAAATTATTACAAAAAACATAAGGTATAAGATTAGAGTATAAAAGACTTAAAATAATTTAAACGTAATGTACGAGATAAATAAATTATTTTAATTTTAGGATACGACAACGAATTTAGGTGAATTATGGCGACAAGCTGCCGACTTTTATTTACGTGGTGGAGAAATTCAAGTTGCTGCTGACATATTACAAGAATTAGTAGATGCCTCTCCATCAGATACGAAAACTTTGGCACAATTAGTAGTAGCTTATGTACAATTTTGTCCAACTAAAGCTAATCTTTTGTACAAAAGGCTACCACCTTTGCACGATCTTGCAGAGACTACGGATGTTGATGCTTTAGAAAGTAGCAATTGGATTATTGGTACAAAAGTCGTACGAAAGAAAATAGAACCTTCCCCAGGGTTTGTAATATTTCATTACATATTTATTCCTAGGAAATTTTGATTTATTTATCTATGCATTTATTTTGCATTTTTAGTAAACCAGTAGTAGATCAGACATTGAAGAAACGTAAAATTCGTAAACGTAAAGGAAAATTACCTAAGAATTATGATCCTAATGTTCCTCCCGATCCTGAAAGATGGTTACCAAGGCATGAGCGTAGTGGTTTTAGAAAGAAACGAGATAGAAGAAATCGAGATGTTACGATGAAGGGTACACAAGGTGCAGCAACTGGTGCAAGCGATCTATAGTACGTAAACAACATTTATAATAAGAAATAAGAAATGTTTTTGATTTTTAATACAAAACAAAATAATTAAGTATCAATGTGTTTAATATTTAATATATTTGTTTTAAAACTTCCAGTGATATTACAAAAATGCCAACCAATGCGAAACCTTCACCGAATCCTCGTCACAATACTGCCGTGGAAGTTTCTGGACCACGTCAACAACAGCGTAAGGTTCAGCAAAAGAAAAAGAAGAAAGGTGGTAAATGGTAAATGAAATACCAAAAAAATTCAATCATTTCATAAAATATGCAATAGGAGACAGAGAGAAAAAGAGAGAGAGAAAGATAAAATTTAATAGAGATTTGTTATTTCATACAAATAACGCGTAAAGCAAAAAACAAACAAATTACGTCATGTAATATTATCGTGTTCATATGTCTAAACATTTTTTATATTATGCGTGAAGGATACAAAAAAAAAAGAAAAGAAAAATAAAGAACCCATGTATTATCGATACGATACGTAAAATAATTTTATTCTAATAAATTCTTTCTGTTCGTCAAATGAGAACGACAGATTGAAACGTAACACGTAGTAATAATTAATTAATAAATTAATTAATAATTAATAAATTTAATAATAATAATAATAATATATTGGTAACATTTCCTTCATACATTGACTAGGATTTTGGTGGTATATATATAACCCTTTGTTTTTTATTTGTAACAATTGTATATAAAAATACAATCTATTGTTGAGGTTCTTTTTTGAAAATCATCATCATCATCATTATCATTATCGTTGTCGTTATCGTCGTCGTCTTCGTCGTTGTCGTCATAGTCATCGTCATTTTCTTTTGCATGCATAAAACATTTTGGAAACAATGTGCATCAGAATTTACTCAACATTTTTTTCTTTCTTCTTATTTACACATAACAGGCATAAAGTAGAAAACAGTTTGCTCTCTAACGCAATATTAGTTTACAGATATTATACACAACATATTATTATAATAATAACAGATCATTATTATAATGCCCACGATTGTTCGATGAATAAGTTTTATTTTTCTTTTTTCTTTTGGACAATTTTTTCTTATTTTTCATCCCTTCTTTCTTTAAATTATATAACTTTTGAAAAAGAATATCTTTTTTGCATATATATATATATGTATACAAGGGTGTTCTGTAATTAATTATACGAGCGAGCAAGGGATGATTTTACACGAAAAACTAAGACAAGAATGTAAAATAAAATTTGTCAGGTGCATGTGGTACTGCAACAAGGTTTTTAATTGCCAAGGGTTGCATTTGCGTATTCTACATTTTCTACTTAGTTTTTCTTTTAAATGTAGAATCATCTCCTCCTTGCTTGAACCATTGGTTACAGGACACCCTGTGTATATAAGTTATTAATTAATATAATATCCCCCATATATTAAGCACGCGGTAAACGACAAATCCTTGTTCAATAATATATCCTTAAAATTCTAATTTATTATTGTCTTCCATAAAATTGCACATAGTAAAAACTTATATATAACAATATGCAATTGTTCACAACGTTTTCGTAAACAGACTCGTCCTAATTGAATCTTAAAAATTACTCATTTTTGGGGCGGAAGGGGAATAAACCGGGGTTGTGTGGTGGTTACCGATTGAATGGGTGCTCGTGATTTTGGTCTCGGGCCTACATCGTTAACAATCTTTTTTTTCTTATATTTTTCTTTCACAAAAAATACGGCTATCATCGTAAAAAAAAAAAAATAAACATAAAAAGACATGCATTGAAACAGAAAATAAAAATAGAACACCGTACCCAAAACCACGTCTTTCCTTATCTTATGATATGTGTAAGAGTGGATAAATTAATTTTAGTTTTTTTTCCTTTTTCTTTTTTTTTTTTTATATACATATCCCATATTGATTTTCGTTAAAATTGTTTAATCAAAAAAATTAAAAAAAAGAGAAAAAATAGAACACATGCACACACGCTTGCATATACACATACATACACGAGAATTTTAAAATGCTTCTCATGCCGCACTCATCTATTTAACGAATCGTTTGTTTCTTTCTTTTTTTTATCTTTTTTTTAATAATTATTCCCCTCAAATCAGTAGTAATCATTTCGATTCGAAAAGTACGCCTGTACTCTGTTTACGATTTAAAACATAGATGAGTAAGGCACAAATACGTAGAGGCAACGTAGGTCATACGGTAAGAGGTATATCTTATTTTTTCGTCAGTTCATTGGACCACTAATAGGTAATGCTACTTTTGAGGGATTATACCTTCCCAAGCATCTTCTCGTTGTTTATTGGCCAATCTTCTTTCCTCTGCAATATTTTAATAACTTCTTATTTCATTGGATAAAATATTGTCTATTTATAAATATATGTTAGATATACAAAGCATCTAATATCTATTTGTAGAAACAGAAATTTCAAGAAATAATTACAATTTGTAAAGTATGTAATTCATGAAATGAGAAGTTCATAATTGGGAATTTATTTTGGATCATCCTATAGTATAATGTACGTACCTTTAGCTTCACGCAAAATGTTCTTTTCGTGTTCTCGTTCTTGTCTCGCTGTTGCTAATTTTACACCTAGAGCACCTGAAACCAACCTTCTCGCTAAAGCAGCGCAAGTTTTTGGACGACTTCTGTACGGTTGCAAGAACTCAGCACTTCTTCTTGCTTTTGTTTTACTTAAAGCTGTAGCTTCACTAAGAGGTCTGGTTTTAACGAACGGATGTTCTGAAGCCAATACTTCAGCAGCTTTAATTAAACAAAAAAACATTTCAATATTATAACAAATAATAGTAAATTAGGGTAAATGTATTATTAAATATGTAAGTTGATCTCACCAATAAGAGGACTGCTAAAAACACCAAGACAGTGGGTGTCGTCGACCCACTTAAGTTCAAAGCCCCCAGTTTTGAACGGGCTAAAAACAGCCGCCAAGTCGCTCGTTTTGAAGTCCGATGGGAAATTATATATCTCAACAACGTGACCAAATTCGTCGCTTGATAGTGATTCTATTTGTTTAGTGTAAATTTTATAATCGTTCTTTGGTTGTTCTATCACTACTTCGCCAACAGCCGATGTTAACTAAAACAAAAATGATAGCATCAAATTAAAGATAAGTTCAAATTCCAAGTCCAAAGTTCGGGATATTTCTGATACAAGCGTGTGATATTTGAAAATGCGTATTTTGTTACATTCAAAAATAATTCCAACTAGTATATTTTTATATTATTAAAAATACAATAAGAGAAAGTGAATCCTATGTGTATAATTACCTCTTCAATCAATGACGGATCTAAACAATCACCATTATCGTCGAACAAACTATCCCAATCGCATTCGTCTCTGCTAATTTTGATCGGAGGCGACGGTGGTGGTGCCGGTTTACTTTTTGGTCGTTCAACCTTTTTTGCTTTTTTTTCTGGCGGTGCCACGGTAACAACAGGAACTTCTTTAGCCTTTTTCGCGGGTTCTTTATTATTGGTAATAACGTCGGATATTATTAAAACATCGGAGGTTACCATATTTCGTCTCACGGTATTATTGCTTTCGTTATTTTTCTTGACAGTGTTGTTACGACGATTCGACGATACATTATCTTTTGATTCGTCATCTTTTTTCTCACTCGACATATTAGGTTTGTCGTTCGAATCTGCAGTAACAACAAGTTTTTCGGTAGAATAATGATTTGCCGCGTCGTTACTGTTTTTACTGTTAAGTTCTGAGGATTGAGCGTTCGATAAAAGTTCAGATTTGTCTTCTTGTAAAACTCCAATTACTTGTTGGATAGTACAAGTTTCGTTAATCAATGTAGGTTCTTGCAAAGATGAAGAAACTAACATATCACTTTGCAATCGTTCACCTTTCACTGATTCTCTTTCTTCTTCCTCGTGCGTAGGATGATGATGACGATCGTCTGTTATTTTCGAGAGCGTTGACTGCTGTTCGTCGAGTTTCACTGGTTTTACTTGTTCTTCAGTATTTTCTACTTTTACGCTTGATGATTTCAGAGAGCTAACAGGTGAATGATCCCTGTTCAAACTTAAATTATTATGCTTGTTGGTATTTAATGATGTTGGACATTCAGATTCCCTGTTTAATTTTGATGATGATGATAATGATGATGACGACGATAACGATGATGATGATGATGATGATGATGATGATGATGACGACGACGACGACGACGACGACGACGATGATATAATATCTTGTTCTTCGCTAATAGCGTTATTCGACGCTGTTACTGCTGTTGTGATTGTTAATCTTACAGGATCTTGTAAGATAACGTTGTCTTCGTGAGAACGACGTGTATTACTAACTTCTATCTCTGCACCACTTCTTCTATGCCTTGGTACATAAACTGCACGATCTGGTCTTCTTTGACGACTATTTCTTAAACAATACATTAATGATTAGAATTATATGTTTTTGCTAATAAAATAAATACAAGTAAAATAATTGTACATAAAGCTCGTAATAAGATAACTGTTAAAAAACAACTTACAAGAAAAACGCTTACCTCGTGTTAGAAAAAGAAGATGTGGAAGGGAGTACCGTAAGGTCGTTATCGTTACTACTACTATCCTCTGTTTTAACATGAGTCGAAGTTTCTCGATGTTGCGAACGGAGCTCGTTATTTCTTGCCCTTCTTGCTGGAGGTGGTACGTAGATTTCTACCGCAGGTGCAACGGACTTTGCTGTAACAAGAGAAAGGTATACATATACCATATATACACTATAAACCGTAACCGAGTTAGGATAGGTAAAAGTAATTAGAACAAAATATAAAATATCAAAATATCAAAAAAACTTTAATGATTCTAAAATGCTTACAATTTGAAACGATCCTTGGATCAGCATGCCTTTGTTGCTGTTGCTGTGAGCGAATATGTTCCGGTGATTTCGACGATGATTGTCGTCGTTCTATTACACCCATTTCACAGGACAACGTTTTAGAAGGACTTTCCTTTTGTTCCCCACCATTCGATCCTGGCTCCCTTTACAAAAACACAAAGATACATTTTTTACATTAAATAAATACAAATAAATATAAATAAAATAAAAAAAAGCAAATTGAATAAGAAAATTAACAAAGAAAAAAAAAACCAAAGATAAAATTTGATATGATTAAGCAACAACTCTAATTGTAAATTCTTATAAATTTTGTAAGAAATGTGTGAAAAGAAGAAAAATGAAACTGGAAGAACTACGCGTATGCGCATATAGATGGTATAAAAGGAGGCCGTATATGTACATATTTTTACACACTATACATGTACGCGAGAACGTATTTACGACCTTGAGTGAGGAGAGCCGGTCAGTTTCACTTTCGTTTGACGTGCCTCCATTGCTGGGGATTTCACGTACGTTTTAGTCTTTCATAATCGTCTTGAGAAAGTCTGATATATTGACTATTCTTTTTAAACATTCAGAGTTTCTGAAAATTGACCGTCTATCTTTAAAACTCTTCGCGATACTATAATAACACGAGTCCATTTTTCGTGTTTTATATTGCTGAAAGAATTCACGAATAGACGAAAACATTATCTTCCAAATAAATGTTGACTGGTTTTATTATATTGCATTATATTATATCATTTGAAATATTTCTTCTTATTTTTCTACATGCAGGGAAAATATTTTTAGAAAAAAGTTTCACTCTATTTCAAGGCCCACACCAGACGATGGGAAGAATTTTTCAATGTCGTATTTTTAAAAAAAGATTTTAAGGTCATCGATATTTTTTTACTCGAATTTCTTTTCTTTTTTTAAACGAATTTATTTTTTCTACCATTCCGAATAGAAAAGTTTCACAATAGAATGCAACTGCAATAAGTCATTTCATTTTTTTAAATTAGAAATTAGAACAAAATGTTAGAGGAAGCAGATAAGTGATTAAAAATGAATTACATATTCACGGTTATGTTTTTTTCATAAGTGCAATAATACATGATGCATGTGGACTAATAGTGCAATCTAGGCTTCACCATTTTTTGCTATAAAACCAAAAATAATGCGAAATATTTTATTCCTATTGTTAGAATTAATTTAGGTTCAGTCTGAGACAGTTGTAGTTTTTCAAATGTAATTCAATACGACTAAAATGTTGGACAATCTTGTGCTAAAAGATTATTTACAAGTGAAAAACCTGCAATAAATATATGAATATATAAAAAATCATGTTTATCATATAAACAGAGAAATATTTGAAATTCTATCGATGATGAGAACCCACGTATGGAAAGATTTCTTTTTGTTCCGTTAGAAAATACGTAACATTAATCGTTAAGCTCGTAACGAAAGTGAAAAGAGACTGTGTATGTGTAAATGTGTGTCGCAGTCAATGATCGTATCACGTTTGATGTTACAAAGAAAGAGACATCAAAATATATACCCAATAGAATACAAAGAGAGTATGTGTATATACACTGTATTTCTTAAATATACATTAACAACACTTGAAGGGATAAATCTGCACAGTAAACCAAATAAAAAGATGCCATACGAACAGATGTCCGATATACATCAGTTTTCGAGCAATGGATGATCAAAGAAAATGTACCAAGTGTTTGTTTCTTGACTCAACCATTCTTAGAAATGTATTCAAATATTCTACAATCTGGAATTCCACGTTCCGGGAAGTTTTCTTGAGTATAATTTACGTGCTTTCAGTTCAATCCCGTATGCAGAACTATACGTGAAATGCATGGCTGGTCATTTCCGCGTAAGTGTACAGAAGCATTTTGTCGAATTCAGTACATAACTGAATGCTTTACAGCAGTTTGCATTGAGATAAGAAGCGTGTACTTCGAAATCTTGAATGATCCATAAATTAGAAACCTGTGATACATTGGGCATATATTCATATAATAGTTTTTATTTGTTTTCAGTGTGCAGATACATCCTTTTAAAGTACTGACGTTTACGAAACAACCTGTATACAAAAAGATTAATTTAGATAATTCCGAGAAAAGAAAAACGGACTTCTGTCTACCTGAGCACGTCGGTCTTGTAGCAGACGACGGTACGTCTGTCGAGCCCTTGGCCAATGGAGAAGGTGCGCAGGAAATCGGCAAAACGATCCTGCACTAGCTGATGTATGAGATATCGTTGATAGCTGTTTACAGGAGGAAACACGAGGACCCTGCAAAAGCGAAAGGGATCGTACTGATCCGAGAGAAGAAAAAGCGAGAGCTGATAGATCAAAATAATTAAAAATAAAGTTGGGTATATACTTCCAACGTCGACCTCTAACTGATTACTGATGTATATCGATATATACTGATGTTAGTGCCCCGTTGGTGCTGAACACTGCGCAACCATGCGTAGCTATATAAGGTAGAATACTCGAGAGGGACCTCGAGGAGTAGGAGAGGTTAACTCATGGCTTTTACGTAATATGTCAGGGGTGAGCAACTTCTTTGATAAGAGTTTCGGATTTCTTTTTTTAAATTTACATTGTAATCCTGTCCCGAATTTACAAATTTTTAATACAACAATTTTATAAAAATGATTATTGAAATCTAATATCGTGTTGGGAGCCACAGTTTTTTTCCTCCACTATTGTAATATGTATTCTGCAGACTTTCTCCTTCCTCTCTTAAATGATTTATGCAGGATGTATCAAGTGTATGCATAAAGTAATATCATACTGCAAGTCCCCATAAGTGGAAGGTTAAACAATGAAGTGCAATAGAAAATGTTACTTCGCTCGTTGTGCGCAAGGTTTACTGCGCAGATGGTTAAATATGAAATTGAATTTGCAAACTTTTTACATACATATAAAATTAGGTTGCAATAGAAAAATAAAATTACAAACTGCACTATAATACATTGAAATAATAAAATCAAGTTTTCAATTGTTAAAAGTTAAATTACATTAATCAATTTCGAATTATTTTAATCTTAAAGTAGCATATTTTAGCGTGAAAATATGCGTGCATGTTTTCTTTTATCGAGAAAATTGTTTGCACACGCGCATAACGTGCAAGTGGTGTAATTGCACCTTAATATTTTTTATATTTTTATTGTTCTTGTATTTCTTATCATTTCTTAAAGTTCGTTCTAAATATTATGCCACACCCCTTGCCTTCCTATATAGGCCATTGTTATCTAACATCAAATATGACACAATACCGCAAACATTTTTGATTCCTATTGAGACATCGCGTTTCGAAAAAACAGCGCTATGAATCACAATCGATATAAAATTCAATTGTGCTTACATTCACGATGCATGAAAATGTAAACATGTTTTTTCTCCTTTTCTTCATTTTTTTTTGCTTCCACAAAAGATTAACGAGAAAGTGGTTATGTAGTAGAATATACAAGTATATGTGAGAAAGGTATGGGGACTTTCTTTTATTATATATAGACACATTAATTATCATATCACTGTCTGATTATTTGTGCTAATCATTTTGAAAATATATGTGAAAAAATGGAAACAAATGTATTTTATTATATAAATTAATTATCACAAAGAGAGTGAAAGCAGTGAATAAAAACTTATTTTATCATTGACTTCATAACATAATCTAAAATAAAATCAATTGTTTCCAATTTTTGGATTTAATCCAAGTTCATAATTATTATCACAATTATTGATGATAACTGTGTATATAAGGTATAGTATGTGTATTTTTAAATTCAATGTTTCTGATTGGTCGGGAATAACGAATATTAACAGATTTTAATAGCAGTTAAGAAGAAACAAAGCTATCGTTTCTCGAAGGAACCCAAGATATTTATATAAAAGCTATACTTGGCCTAGGAGAGTGGAGTCAATAGACTGATCATCAGAGAAGAGGGGTTGGAAGGATGGGTGGGAGTGTGGAGTGGAAGGACAGTGAAAAGAAACTCCTTCATTAAAAAAAAAACTCCTTGCATTCATCATGGCCAAAACTTTTATCAATCTAATTGTAAGTTACTTTTTAAGTTTAATGTATTAAATGCAATCGTTGGTCGAAAAGTATTTGACGATTCTGAAAAAAATTGTGCAACAATCGTTTGTAGTGTATTGCACACGACATACATATATATATATATATATATATGTATATGTATGAGTGATGTACAGAAAGTTCGTTCGCCATAATAAGAGGCTCGATTGCATGACCGTTACGTTAGACGGAAGGACGCGCGCGCGTGCAAGAATGAATTCCTCCCATTCCTCAAATAATTCATATAATTACCTCGACTTATTAAACAATTCTGTATTAACAGAGATTACGAATAACTATAGCATACCTTTTTTTTCTATTGTCTTTCAAAAAGAGAGTCACGTCGTACTCCACATCTTCGGCAAAAAGGCTACCTTGCAGGCTCATTTATCAAAACGGTTTAGTCGCTTTAACGACGGCACAACAACACATAAAACTACACCACAACAATTTTCTTTTATCAAGTCGGAGGTACATCGAGATAAGTCTTAAGTCGCGTACGCGATCTTCTAGTACATTTATAATGTACACTGTTTTACTATACACTCGGTGGGGCCAGATTCATGCGAAAAAAGTGTGAAAGAATATCTTTTTTTTCTATTCTTTTTTTACGTTTATATTCGTTATTGAGACGAGTGCGCTTCTGTCGCTATCCGTTGCTTGCACCATCTGACGGAGAAATGTTTGCAATGCCCAAGTGAAAATGCAGTTGCAAGTAGGGGAACTACTCCATGATTGGTCAGTTTAAGAGCTTATCAAAGTCGAGTTATAATTAGTTCAATATATCGACGTGCGAATGGCGGCAATTATTTAATTTTACAATATTTTCACATAATCTTATATTAGATTTTGGTGCATAATGTGATTTTTTAAAAATTAGAAACAGGTTTCTGTTTTTTCCCTTTATTCTACCAACAACGGATGTTGAAAATATATCAGCGATCATTGGTACAGTACTGTACAAAACATATTTATTTAATAATTTATAGATATACACACACAGTGTACAATATACAAGCCCCTAACGCTTTTAAGCGCAGCTGCTGCTACTTTGCAAAATACACTTCTCAACATTCTAATACTTATATATACAATCACACGTTTTAGTATTTTTTCTTTTTTTTAAATCTTTTCCTTCATTTCTTTCTTAATATCGTTTCATAAAAATGATTTGATCTACTATGAGAGATAAGTCGATATTAACACGATATTTCACTCGACAAAGTTTTTATCTTTTTTTTTTTTTTCTGAAAATATTTAGTTCCTCGATAAAATTATCATTGCAAGTTTTATTTTTATGTCGAGGGAAATATGTGTTTAATCCGACAATATGTGCATTGCATAAAGCATAATAGAAAGTTAACAGGACCTAGACGCATATTAGATCCTAATTTGTATACTTTTGTTTGCTTCATACAAAGCTGCATCTATGCGCGCAATGTATATAGAATTTTGTCAAAAATATTTTATTTACAGTCAGAATATTTTATTTGTAGTGTTGAGTTGAGTCTATGTGAAACTTATAGTCAAATAAAACTCTATTAATTACACGTAGAATGATTAATGACAGTCTCATCGTAAGATATAAGATAATATTTGTAAGAGCGAGAAAGAGACTGTCTACAATGATATTGATGTGTTTTTAAATAGAAATGTCAAATTATGATTTGATGCGTGAAAGTGGTAGGCTCGGGTGATAACTATAATAGGACGATAACTATACAAAAAAAAATAAAATATAATAAAAAGAAGCTTAAACTTAATAATTTTTCTAAATAAATAATCGCAGTAGAAAGAAGAATATAAACATAAATGACGAATGTTTAAGATTAAATTACAAACAACCTCAGTCCATAAGAAAATATAAAATCACATGATGCTAATGAAATTTTTCAATTAATGCAGCGATCATTCTTACTTTTTGTATTACCCTAAGTTCTAATTAAATGTCACGCAACAGTGTCGTTGATCAATTGACCAATTGATCAATAACAAACAACAGGTAAAATACATTGTACGAATAATGTATAATTTTGTGGAGTTATTGATTTTTAAAGTTTATAAAGAAACTTATTTTATGGGTTTAAATAATAATTGCAGTATATGAACAATTGTTATTGCGTTACATCTAATAAGAATGTAGGGTTATATCAGTTTTAATATAAATTCGCTTCCTCGAAACGTTGATATTTTCAATAACGTAGAAATTATAAACGTGAAAACTAATTCGAGATACATCTAATAGAAAAATTAAATATAAGACATAATATTGACAAATGCAATCGGTATTCATCGAATAGAGATCTTAAAACGATAAAGAATTGTACCATTATCGTTGAGCATCAACATAGTTTAACTATAAGTAAGATTGTCTGTGAAAAACACAATCCATAAATATTGCAATGAATGATGCATCAACGGATTGATAAAACAATATATATATATATATATATATATATATATATATATATATATATAATTGATCCATAACGAATTTTTCGTAACTTTTCTATATAAAAAACATAGTTTTAAATATCTATTCGTGGTCGATATTGTAATCTTAAGGGTGGGTCCCGGAACCTCCATCTTGTCACATATACAAACTTTAAAGTATGATCCTTACCTAATAACTCATCATTGCACAAAATATCAATCTGCGAAGAAAAAAGAAAAGAATAAATTAATACATGATTAAATGGAGAAACAATTAATTAACCCCTTGTACTGTAAGTTAACGTGCTGAATTTCCTGCTATATTTCATGCTTCTTATGTTTGGCCCATAAGATTTCCTACAAGTTGTTGCATAGCAATCTACACGTTGTTATAATGCAAGGGGTTGATTTATTAAATATGTACATAATGTATACATACGTCTCTGTATTTCTCCATGCCACTAAGAACCTTTTTGGCAATGAATTTTTTAAGGTGTGTAATTGTAGCCTGTGCGGAACATCTGATGAATCTTCGTTTTAGTGTCTTCAAACTAGCATTTATACATTCCAGGCACACGTTTACCTTTAATATTATATAAATATTATAATATATAATTATTATACTTTCTTTTTTAATAATAATACTAATAAAAACATACCTGTTCGTCTGCTCTGTGATAATCTGATTCTGCATGGGCATCCGCAGTTGCTTTTTCTTCTTCCACTTCAGCAGCATTTGGTAGAATATCCTTTGGACAGGGTAAACCTCTTGCTCTATAAAATTCTCTTTCTCTTTTGATTTCATCTATAAATATAAATATTATAATAAGTACATTAATGTATGCATTTATACTATTTGATAATTAAGTTAGTTCATGCCATTTCTAGATTTTATTACTTTTACTTACTTTCTTGGAGATCTGGAACTAATTTGTAAACAATATCTTGCATAGTTCTGTCGAAACTGATGTATTGTAGTGGATGTGACTGATGTATTACTATTTGACATGTCGGACAGGTATGTTTTTCTTCCAAGTGTTTGACCAAACAACTCTTGCAAAATGTGTGTAAACATTCGGTAACTGTAGTAGCATCTATTAAATAACCACGACATATTTTGCAAGTAATATGACTGTTCAAAGTTTTTAATTTTATTCTTCTTTCCATGGCACTGATAATCACCATTTACTAAGTCAATATTGTCATCTGTAACCAATGACAATGAATAATATATATAAGTAATTTGTACTATATCAAAATGATTTAATTATACGATTAATAATGTCAATCAAAATGTATTCAATACGATTCTTGAATGTAATTACGTGATAATAATAATTTTAAGTAATAGTACAGAAAGTATTGCATTATGAATTTAGAAAAATAGACTTGGATTTACTTACATTACTTAGAAGTATTTGACAAGTTAACCTCAATTTGTAATTTATGAGGGACACTGGTTTAGTTTTCTTATTATTAAAACTCGTTAATATTAAATCACACCACTAATTGCATTATGTTTCTGTTAAAAGAAAATTGTACTTTATAGATTAAAACAAAAAATTCTAATGAAAATCGGATTAAAAACAACTTAGTATGAATGTGGCAGATGACAACAAAACGAATCGACACAAGCGCCACTCGTGAGTCTGCGCATACGATTTTTCTTAATAACCACGCGGTTATTACATACGACAAAAGTAACTAAAAAAGTAATCAAAATAATATCACTTAAATTATCCAATTATTAAGAGTTAATTAATTACAGACATTTTATAGGACATTAATTGAGAAGTACTTATTAATATAATAATAAAATATTTAAATACACTGTATAATTTAATATGATTAATAAATGTTTATATACTCGAAGAATAAAATAATAAACTTTTTTTGTATTACGTTGTAGTTTATCAGTTTGAATATCGCCATGTTTAATATTGCTGGCGCCAAACGTTAATGTGCAAAGTGTGTAGTGTATGGTGTTCCTTGTAAATCAATGCAGTTGTCTTAAATAATAGGTAATTGTTTCATTTCTTTCTTAATAACAATAAATTATTACGATATTATTGCGTTAATACTATGATTAAATAAATAAATATAAGTCAAGAAAGAAATAAAGCTGATAAAATGATCAACAACCTTGATAGTGAATTTTTGAAAATTTCTTTCACGAATTCATTAATTTTCAATTAATATTTTATAGTAATTTATTTTGAACGCTCATTTTATGAAATATTTCAGTTTTGTACTTTGTTATTTAATCTAATGAATTAATTATTTTATAGTAAATAGTATTAATTTTTTTAGGATCCTGAAAATAAAATTGAAAGCTGCATGTGTAGCGGCAAGAATCAGGAACTAGAATACTATTGGTTTGAACYCTGATCACYASTACTATTTTTATGTAACATTTATTTATTTATAAACTATTACAGAACAAAACGAAAACAAGAACAAAAACGGATAACAAAAATGCGTTGAGGATTAATACG